TTTTTATTACCGATCTTTGAATTAATACAACCAGGTGCGCTTGCCTTCGTTTTCTCTCTCTCTCTTTCCCCCTCTCTCTCTGTCTCTCTCTCTCTCTCTCTCTGTCTCTCTCACTTCCACTTCATTCTCAGTACTACAAACCGTCACACCATCAAAGACATCATTTTTTACCATTTGATTATTCCTATCAGTCAGGTTATCCAGTTAGATGTTTGACGAAAGAGTAGAAGACAGGGGTCGATAGACAGACGAGCGTGAAGACGGATAGACTGTCAGTTTTTATTGCCGTGCAAGGCCAAGACGTAGTATTAATCATTTAAGAAATGAATCAGTGAGCCAATCAATATTCTAATAGACCATCATTTATCTTGTCAGCGGGTCACGACTGAGACTGGGCGCAGGTCAGGCGAAACGGTTATCAGATGGTCAGACACTACTGCAGCCTGTCATCAGGTGCGATTGATTTAAATCGGTCTTACGTTAAAATATCGAAAGCGACCGTGCTGTTCCAATGATGATAAGATGCTGTAACCGACTGTTATTATTGGAGCTAGAGGAGAATGTATTCATTACTCTCCCCATCTTCAAATTTCTATAAATAAAGTTATTTTTTAATTCTGCTCCTTCATTTTTACAATTTCTTGGATACTGTTGCCTCGTGACAATTTGATACGGGTATATTACTCAATATCAAATATTTGTGAGCGAAAGCTGGCGTACACCTACAGTCGTCGTCGAATTGTTATTTTTCTGAAATATTCTCGGTATATAATACACATACAATGTTGTATGAATACAATGTTGTCATAATAATAATTATTGCTGTAAAACTTGAAATTTGGAATGATAACATTAATTTTCTATTGGAGTTTCCAGGGTTTGACCATGTGGGACACACCCCATGGTATACTCCAAAAGGAGCCGATCCAGGATTATTTGAAGGGGGGTCCAATTTTTTAAAGAATGACAGGCCTCGGATGGGAAGCTGACCCTTGCCCCCTTGTGTGGGGTTGGGTGTTTTGGAGGGCAAACGGTGCCATTTGGTGCAGTTTAGAACTATAATTCAGCTCTTCAAAATTCTAATATCAAGAGGGGAATATTGGTGTGATCTTTTTCAGAAACCGAAAGGGGGGGTCGGGACCCCACAGACACCCCCCAAAATCCGCCACTGCTCCAAGGAACAAAGCGGTATGATACAAGAGACACATGATAGCCATATTAGATTCACAGAGATAGAAACCGGGTCATCCCCCTCCCCGAAAAGGTATTGTCAATCACGTCAGAGACGCACGCATTTTGTGTAATATATGGATAACTTTAAATTGTCCCATTGTTTGCACTATTGTTTATTACAGAACCCCTCAATATGGAAAGAAATATCAAAAGTAATGAAAAAGCGATATACATGTACTAGTGTGCGTCACTGACGAGTATCCCAACNTTCGAACATTTAATGTTTGATCCGCTTTTATTATCACAATGTCCCATTGCCCTTTTGACAAGTAATTAAGTATAAATGCTTTGGCTCTTTATCATATAATCCTTTTATCCATTAAGTACCGTTGATTTTTTAGAGTGATGGCTTCGTACAAGATCAAAGGTGCCGACTATTTGGGTTAATTTCTCAAGAATTCTTTAGACTGAAATTAGTGACTACTTCGGCTGCAACAACGCATTGTTCCCGAAGGAATTTTTCAGAGCAAGCAAATCGAATAACTCTACTTTCTTTTCAACGTTCTCCGTGGAGAGTAGGCCCTATATACAGTTTTAGTTATTCGAGCCCTTTTTTTTCATATGCACCAAACCGAATGAAATTTAAAAAGAAAGAACTGAAGCTTACCTTATTTTTCTTGTTCTTTTTGACGCAGCAGAGTAGCATGATGTTTTCCAAGTGCGTGGGGTGCTTTAGTAGACCTACCGGCGTTGGGTAATGTGGCATATTATGGCATTGGGAATTGGCACCCAAGGTTGTTGCGCTGTAGATACTGTTTATCACTAGCGGTAGAAGTCATAGTATTTCCCCAAGGAAATGAGCAGAGAAAAAGAGAGAGAGAGGGGCTTCTTAGAGACGGATTGTACTCTCGTTGCGACCTTTGGCGGAAACCAATTTGTAAACCACCCGGTATCCAGCGGCAACTAACACTTGTTCAATCCTTATGTTCTCCTGTTGTCCGTGGCATTCTTTCAAGATGCCAATCAAAACTCCAAAGATGCAAATCCTCTGCCTGCATCTGTCAGATCTTGTAATCCAGCAGTCTCAATACTAAATGCACATAATATATACATATACAGTATGCCACTACTGCAAGTCCACCACTGCCGCCTCGCTCAATACAGTTTATGTTGATAAAGTATAAATAAACCACCAAAATATCAATTAACACGAGCAGATAATGAAGTTATTAAGATGTCTCTTTTTCACTTTACCTGAAATCCCATATCTCTCCCAGAGGAGATGCTCAATATTTTCCATGGTAAACTAATTTCACTGAGGTTTCACGTTTACATTTTGTTCCCAGGAAGATCGTGAATCTCTCAAAATAGAGTTAGAATTGACCTATCTCTTGAAAGGATGCATTACAGATGTTTTTCAATCTGAATACATAAACATTGCGCACGTGCACATTTCTTTTGAAATATGTTCCATCCACCGGTGAAACCGGCCTCGTAGACACAACCAGTGGGTCAATATTTCCTCACCTGAAGAATAAGTGTAATGGGTTGTTATTGAAAGGATAGATGAAGCACGTGTTTGGATCGAGTTTCACTTTACGTCTGATATGACATTAGCATGATTCCACTCTCTGTGTCAACCTAATCAACTGCATAAAGCCAGGACTGCAATTGAATGAGCATCGATATAATACCTAGGTATCAAAACAACAATGCTATGTATCATTCACTTTGCAGTAACAGAAAAAATTAATATGTGGTGACTGTTGAGGGAATGTGATAATACCAAGAAAACTCGGGTTTCTTGGAGTTGCGTCAAAATGATTTCCTACAGCAAAGAACCTTTCTACCACATTTCACTGACATTTGCGTGTAACAATGTTAAAAGTGTCTTAGAAATGTGCTTTTCTAGGAATCCACAGGTTAAATGATCCCAAAAATTGAATACATTTACCCCAATTTACCCATATCTCTACCATTTGCAATCTATTAGGAACATAAGCTTGATTAAACGCATCGAAACAAAACATCAATGAAACGTTTCCATCAGTTGTACAGCGTTTGAATATAATAAGGGACTGTCCCATCGTTCAAAATCCTGGTTTCTCTTGTAGTATTAAGATGCATTCCGATACCATGATATGAGCTGTCATAGTTGGAGAATTGATGGTTCTTGCCAGAGTACGTCCACCATTCAATCAGTGGCAGCCTCTACCTCTAAGTGATTGAAGCACTTATGGTTCGATGCGATCATATTAGAAGCAAGGCGAGCGGTATTGAACTGGTCTCCGTAATCAGGAAGAGATTATGCGACATTTGTCAGGCTAACACATGTTCCCGGAGGCCCGAACCGATTTTAACCCTCCAAAGGCGGCCTATAATTCCACCAAAGGTCGGTTATGCTTCATTGATTTTCCGCTGTGCTCTTCAAAATCTATATGCTACTTGTAAGCAGTGAAATCTATTATTTTCTGGGCCGAAGTCTTCACAACCTTTCACCCTAGGCTCCGAGAACAAGCGGGAGATAAACATATTGATAAATACCGGTAATGATTCGAATACGTTAGCCTTCTGTCTGAGAGGTATTGGTAGAACGCAATTGTAATTGTTCGCAATTAAACACAATTCCTTTTCAGCATGATTGAGCCACACATATATTGTACACCAACTTTTATTTCCCATTTTTTTCATTCCCATTCACCTTTCTATTTATCATTTTATCTTGCCTTGTTATTTTAATTGATCAACTACTTAAAACGTTATCCTGGCTTTCAAAAATGGTCCATTTTGCATCTGATGTAACAATGTAAATCGAAACCAAGGACAAAGTCTAGATATGTTCAGCGCCTAATCCCCAGGATTACGCTCGAGGGATGCGTGAGTGCATCTGATGGCAAGATTATATTGAAAATGAATTACGGAGAGAATTACGGCTGTCCATCTTACAGAAAAAAAACTGACATAGCCTACACGTTGCACATATACCTCAGGCTAAAATAAGTATCGTGAAGAATTGTTTTCTTGTGCTCATGTTAGGAAATTATTAAGGTCGGTGAAGTTTATTTTCACTTTGTGAACGGACATAAATAGATAAAATCACATATACAGTACTCCAGTATATAAATGAATAATTCATTTTGAAGCAGGCTAATCCAGGTTAAACATTTTCATCACCCAACGGGCAGACAGGATCGAAAAGTGGTGGGCACTGCTTCTATTAAATAGAATGAAACCGATCAAAAAGTGATCTTGAATCAAATTCTTTTGCCTCGTATCCTGTCCACGTATTTAGAAAAAAGTAATGATCACATTCCGACTATATCATTCTGCACGTTATCCGCCATCATGGATGCACCCCTCCTCTTCCCATCATAGAAACCTTTTTCTAAAACAGTTTCATTTACCTGTACCATAGCTGCATTGAGAAGCTGCACTAACTTGTCAAGTTTTTGAAAGGATGTTGATTAAAACCTGACAATGCTGCCTTGTGTTGTTCAATGGTTAAACATTCCTGATGTATAAGTACATGGTCATAGACCTAGTGAAATGTCCTGCTAATAGCCATTTGTAGAAAAACAGTTTGCCAAGATTAATTGCATCAATGAGGTTTCTCAATAATAATAATAATAATAATAATAATAATAATAATAATAATATGATTAGTGCATGCTTTTTAGCCCACTTAATAATTAACTTTCCCCATTTAATGTATTAATTGGGAAAGCTAATTTTGAACTTGCATTAAAAGTACATGGTGGTTTATGTACCATGCGATTACATCAATCATTCACTTTTAAATGAAAGTAATTTATTTTCAAAAAGTGCATTTATTTTCAAAAAGTGTATTTACAAGTATGCAAAACAGCATGTAAAATAAAACAACTACATGAAAGACGGTCACAAATTTACACACATTAACAAGGAATTGCACAAGATAGCTACATGTAAAAACTTTCAAGTCTTCAGGTCTTATAAAAATATGATAAATAATAATTATCGGTCAACTGACAGACTTTGACTTCCTGCCAATTTTTCTCCAATTGGAAATATTGTAGCAGAGATACTGTTGAAAATAATCAAATATGCATATGCATTCTTATGTCACGGTATGATTTCTTTATATAACACAAAGTAAAGCACTAACAACTACAGGTAACAATGTGCAAGTGGATGACAGGTGATTGTAATGATGCTCCTTATGCATGTGGAATATATCTGTATCTGCAATGAACTGTTATCCTAAACTACAAAAAAGTTCTGCCTTAATGTCAATTTTAGTTTGGCTACATGTACCACTTTACCAACACCAACTGACACAGCTGAGATTTGAACCAAGTTGCAAGTGTAAATGGTCCTATTTTTACAACAAATTTGAATGGCACCCAGATGAAACACTGCAGTGATACTAGCTGTTAGATCAAATGGTAAGTGTGTATAATAGAAAACAGGAATATGTGCCCATACTGAGCCATACAAGCATAATGTGGGTTTTCAACAAATAGTACAATATATTACCCAAATCATTTGAACACTATTCATAAATTTGTAGTACGGATATTGGCAGATTGTTTAACATTAGAAAAGAAAAAAATTTTGTGTCTATGAAAATTTGCCAAAAGGAAATGTTCATGTCAGCACGAGCTGAAAAACTTACACTATTACTCAAATTCTAGTGTGTGGTTACAACAGGAATTATATTGGAACTAGCATATATACTGAATGTTTATGTGTCTTAAAGTGCATCTAGTCCTTTGTGTGATTCTCTGGGCTTTGTTCCTTTTCTTTTTGTAGTCAGTGCATTGCCCTTTTCCCCCTTCTTGAATACGTGGAATTTCCATGCAAATGATACACATTCAACCTAAAAAATGCAATTTCACAAAGTTCAATTTCTATGTCTGAATGAGAGAGCTGAATACTTCATTATACTGTTCAAATAATAAGATTGTGACAAGATTCCAACTTCATTTATGCATCTTTTAAAGGCTACCAGGAAAACTTATTTAGATTAAAGAATTTTTAAAAAGGTAAACAAAATCAAGTAAAGAAAGAGGATACATGCATGTTTCCATCATTAATTAAATGCAATTTAATTTTGCAGACATCCAATTATCTAGTACCATGAAAACACAAAAAAAAAAGATGGCAATCTTGTAACCAACAGCTTATATTTTCTAACAACAATGGTCAATTTTTTAAACGTACTAGCTAAAAAAAGGTAGACAAAGAGACATAGATTAAAAGATATATAGATATCTTACAGGTATGAGATTATCCTTTTTGTTTTCCTTCTCAACTTCTGTGAGTTCATCAGGAGACAGAAGAGGAAGTCTGATGTGTTGGGCTACGCTTTTAGAAACCTCTGTAATAGGCTTGCCTATGACAACCTGGAGAAAAAAAAAACAATCAGTGTACATATCAATATATTTGTCTTACTTATTGATTACTTTCACCATTAGCAAATATATTATATAAATGTTATTCAAAGTTTCCACCATTTGTACTGTACTAGAATACAATTTTTATTGATTTACTGCTTATACTAAAAAACTGTTTGTTTAATCGACAAAATCTTAATTGTTAATACATCTACCAGTACATGTACTTTCCCCACTGTATATTTTTCTATATATATTTGCACACATGTAGCTGCATGAACTGTATCTACACTTACATGGACATTTTAAGAATATGCTTTATGGAAAACTGTGGAAAAGTGGTACTACATCCTCTCCTTGACCAACCATCTTGTATTGATTAATATATTTGTGAAATACCCATATAATTTTGTGAATTTATCTAATAATGTAGCAGAACACCAGTTTATCCATAATGATCTGCTTATTTCCCAGGCAAGTCATACAAATTATACCAGAGGCCAATCTTTTTATTGGGGTCTTAACTGTGCTGTAATTGACATTGATTGAAAAGGAAGAGAAAAGAGCATCAAACCAATAGGAACATTTTTATAGGCAATCCTTTAATTAAACACAGCTTAAGATAATAAATGCAATCAAATAATGCTAACCATTGTGAACTACATACATGTAGCATCTTTAATACTATTTTCTGATCCGATTATCTGCTAGGAGATTAAATGTATATAGAGGCCACTAGTCAGGTTGCTTTTCTCTCATGCTTTCCCAATGCACACAGATCTTCCATGGATGTTTTTAATGAGTTCTTAAAGATTCTCTCCTTCTGAGGTTTTTGATGGATATCAGCTGTAAGCAGTATACAATAAGGGATTTCCAGAGCCATTGATTTGTGAACTAATTAGACCACCATTTGATGGGTCTTCCCTTCAATCATGATCACTAAGAGTCATGTATACCCTTGTAATGAATTTGTTGCTTGGCACTTGCATTGCTGTGGCAGTCTGTGGTTGCCAGTGGTATATGTGTATTAAAATATTAAATAACCTGAATCTCCCTACTACAAAAACTGGAGTTTGAGTGAGTAAAATATGCTCAAGTGGTCCTGTCAACAAATTCTCCAGCGAGACTGATGAAAGGTTATAGAACAAATTCTTAGAAGTACAGAGTATGTGATGTTAATATATAATCTTAATTCAATTATAATTTTAAACAATAGCAACTCTAAATTAGTAGGTGATACAGATTTGACATGCAATTTTTATCATTTTGAAATTTAACATCATTCTCAAATATTTTATTATCAACAGTTTAAAAAATTTAATATTAAAAAGATTACAATTTAAGAATACTTTCTTAACCTTTGAAGTTCCCTTTCTTGAATTAAATATGTAAAGAGATACTAAGAGTAGGAAGGAAGGACATGGAACAGGAGGAAATGAGACCCACAAATTATCCATACACATATTCTCCAACACATCATCTCCTGTCCACCATATTATTGATTTCTAAAACAGACCACTTAATAACCCAATTGTTGATTCTGGTTTAAGTTTATGGTCTTCATTTTAAATGAGTTAAACAAGTAGCAGTTAGGTAATCTATGGAACCTCTTAATTTCTGCCTCAACTTATGAGAGGGGTTCTTCCCTATGTATATGCAATGCAAAGCCACACTGTGATTTTGCAGTAAGAGTTGAATCAATGAAATCATTTTTGTTGCTGATGTAATTAGTTTTATGTTTCTCCAAAGGAGAAAAAAAGAGAAGTTATTGTATAAGGGAAAAGGTTTCAGAAGAGAGAACAACAATATGTACATATCAAGTATCTCACTTCCTAACTTCATTTTATGTGGATACCATAGCAACCAATTAATTGTCGCTGGCAATATGGTGAGCCATTAATTATCTGCCTGAAGTGAGATGATCAATAATAACAGATCTGTTCAATACACACAATTCTTTCTGTGTTTTAATAAATGCTTCTATGTATATCATTATATCAACAAGAGCACTAAATACATGTATAAAGTTTGTACAATTCTGGACCATATATTAAGAGAGGAATTTCAGAGATAGTTGAAATGCACATTGTTTATTTATATACCAAGGCTTCTAATGGAATCTGCCGATCCAGTCATGATGCATTATGGGGGATATGGCAGCTTTTCAAAAGAGAGAATTAATATTGTCTGGCAGGTCCATAGGAAGAGGGGGTTTGAAAGAACTGCTTCACTGTAAAACAAAATTTATTCTAGGTTCTCCTATTTCTCAAGATGGATCAAGGGGGTAAAAAGAACCCCCTTAGCAATTGCTGCATACAGCCCTGTGTAGAACAGAATGCTTTCAACATCTGCATTTTCTTTTTAACAAGAAATTTCAATGCAATTTTTAGTGTGGAAATTTTAAATTTTAAAAGGGATACAAGTACTGCAAACTCTAATGTAAAAAATTTATGTGGTGGTGTCATTGTTAGTTTGCTAGATGTTGTATCATGCATGTGGTTAAGTGTGGTTGTGTTAGGTGAGATACTGTTTTAGATCAGACATTGTGTTGGGTGTGCCAGGGTGGCAAGTCATGCTTTCTTCTGCTTGAGACAGTGTGATAAATCAATCTATTTATCAAGGGTGTGAATATGTGGTTGCATTAAATAATGACAACATCATATGTCACTATGAATGTTGTATTGTTTACATACATTAGGGGAGTATATGGTCTACACCCGTGCTACATATAGGGAACTTACGGAATTGACAGTTGCCCACTCCCTGACCGCAGATATGACATCAACTTCATCAATGTCCAACTTGTCACTGGTCATAACATAGGATATGGCCTCCTCAGACATCTCATGGAAACCTTTTGTTTTGAAAATATTCTGAAACAGAAATACAAACAATTCTTCTCTATGTGTAAGTTCATCATAACGTACAGTAAGTACATTTATACTAGTACAAAACATGAATCACAAATGTGAAATGTATGATAAAATCACTTCACTTAATGTTATCTACTTTAATGTTTTGACATTAAAAAAATGGAACTCCTCCTGTAAATTGGTAGGATTAACATTTGAGGTCACCATGTTAGAATTAAATGCACCAATAAAGGAAAACGGGGCTGTAGCAATAGTCCAAAGGTTCTTTGGTCCTAATGTTCACTACAGAACCTTTGGACCAATGAACCCTTGATTAGAAAACCGATGAAAATGTTACCATTTTTCGGACCAATGAACCGTCAGACCAATGAACCTTCGGAACTATCGAGATGCCCCAGGAAAACTACAGCAAATTTTATGTACCAGTATTATCACGAACCACTGAACATTTAGTGGTAAAACATGAATTTTTGTGAAAAGATAGCAGGTAAAGAAAGATGTTTCAAATTAATTTTCTGAGTTACATCTTCACTCTATTTCACCAGTTAGAAAACAGTTGTGGAAAAAAACATGAAAAAAAACATGTGGTAAAACATGAATTTTTGTGAAAAGATAGCAGGTAAAGAAAGATGTTTCAAATTAATTTTCTGAGTTACATCTTCACTTTATTTCACCAGTTAGAAAACAGTAGTGGAAAAAAAGTTGCAAACCACCCTCTTTGCCCTCTATATCTCCCTCAGGTCTTATATAATCACCCTTTTCGCCAGCTGAACAACACTTAAAGCCACTCAGACAGTTAATATTCAGCCTGAGGTTATTATATGTCCAAGACAGAATTAGCTGCCCAATGATCTGTAAGCTATCAGAATCAATAAGCTAGGGACAGTTAAGTGTAACTGGGGAAATGTTAAAGACTTAGTCTCAGTGGTCTCCTTATAAAATGACCATGCTTATCCTTCAGCCTGGTCAGTTCTGCTACAGTTAAAGAGACTCAAGTTGAATGCCATTGGGTTTGATATGCTGAGCCAGTGTTCTAAAATATCTTATGGCCTGTTAACCTTAAGGAGAAAGTTTTAGTAAAGAACAAGAGAAAAAAAAGAGAAAATGAGTACTGTTTAAAAGGATTTCTAAATCTTTGTTTATATGCCAACTAGCTGCATGCAGTAATGCAGTTTATTTAATTTCTATCTTAGATCAGGCAAATATGTTGTGATCTTCTAATATATTAGTGTAGGCCCGTAGTCAGTGGGGATTCGTGGGGGGGGGGGGGGGTAGAAAGAACTGCCTTTTTTGCTGGGAAAAAGTCCATTCTGGGTAAAATTGGATCTAGGTACACAAATGTTTCATTGTAAAAGGTCCACTTTTTCAAAAAAAAAAAAAAAAAAAAAATTGAAATTGTTGGCTACAGGCCTGTAGTGTGAATTTTGTGTCATACCTCTGTGTTCTGCTCAATGTAGTCCATGGTTTTGTCCCTCAGCTCATCCTGACCATATGTCACTGAAGCTTGCATAGTTTCTGCAGCATTATTGACACTAAGGTTGTCTATCAAATACTCAACACATAGCTGTAAAGCAAATGAACCATATACAATTCAGAAATTGTCTTGTTTGTTAAATAACAAAACACACTATTGTTGTCTATCAAATACTCTACACATAGCTGTAAAGCAAATGAATCATATACAATTCAGAAATTGTCTTGTTTGTTAAATAACAAAACACTATTGTTGTCTATCAAATACTCTACACATAGTTGAAAGCAAATGTACTGTGTACAATTCAGAAATTATGGTGTTTTTTTAGTCACAAAACATAGACATTTAGATATAGTATCACAGTGGCAAATGGATGTTAACACCCAATTTATGACCAAAGCTGACATAGCAAGAGAAAAACAAATGATCCAACACAAAACATTCCTAAGCAAAATTTAAGATGTTAAAAATGTGATTGCATTAGAGAAGATACCATGATTGTGCCAGGATGCTCCAAAGCAACTGATACAACTAATCTATTCACTTTACATGACATACAGTTCTTTTTTGCATGGAAAAGTTGGAAATATGACATTTAATTAGGTAAACAGACAATTATAATTTTATGAACATGAGTATGTGAAAAAAATATCCTGTAATATACATGTACCATTCTATAACTCATTAAAAACAAATAAAAATAATTAATGAACGCACCTTCCTTAACTCCTCCAGACCATACTCAATAGAACTGCCCAACACATCAATTGCCTGAAAATATCCAAACATGTTTATCAATTACAATAGCTGACATGTATAGCATACATGTACCAGTAGAATACAGGTTCACAGCATTATTGGAGATAAATGGATCATTTATCACATTAATGAGGCTTATATATTTGTGGTAGATATAAAGAACAGGTGATTTGCAGGTCAGGCACCTTCTAATATTACAATCCTCTATCCATTGAAATTGCCTCTGCAGTGGAGAGTCAAAATGCATAGGACATGGTTGCTCAGATATTGAAAAAATCCATAGATTGAATAAGCAGAAAAGAATGATATAAAGATTCATTTGTTTGATAACAAAAAATATGCGTAATTGAAAATGCTATTAACATAACAATGTAGTAAGATTACACCTCTCTTACTTCACCATTACTAAACAATGCCAAATGGTAATAACATTACAATGCAGTGAGCACATTCAGGAAGAAGAGGTGTAGTGGTTTTTCATCTCAGTATGATGTTCCTTTCTGTATAACAAATGCATATTTATTTTTTTTACTAGAAAGTAGTAATTGTTACTACATGCTTTTTTATCAATTTTTTTTTATTAATTTGGTTTATCACAAATATAAATTTTTCTCTTCTTTTTTTTCAAGTACCACTGTCCTGCCTTATAAGACAAGGCCTTCATAAAATGTATTCTCATTGTATTTCAATGTATTTTTTTTTTCAATTTATTATGCTTTATGCCAATTGTGTTGGAAATTAAGAGATCATGGGTTGAGAGAAAGGCCTGGTATTTTTTCTGTTTTTATTATTAAATTCTTATTTATTTATCTTTTGGAATCTAATCGTATATGGCTAAAACAAAATGAACAGTTATTCAAGTAAAGATACACTTACAATTTTCCCATTGAGAGTAACACAATTTGTATACAGAAACTCCATAAGTGCCAGGAATATGTCTGGTGTGATGTCTGATAAGACAAATGGTATCTCTGCATCCTGGGTTGTATTTTTCTGGGCCTGATCAGCAAACATGGCTCTGAACACATCACAGCGAGCTGCCAGGATACATCTGTGGGCAAATATCGGCTTGCGATTTGGGCCAATTAAAAACCGAATATCACTGGAAAGTAAAGATACTAGCATGTATGTCTTTATTATGAATAACATTTTAAAATAAATACAGAAGATACACTCATCTTGGTTCAAAATTTAACAGCAATACCTGACAGAAATATCAATTATCCCAAGATCCATTTGAATACTTAATGTTTCAAAGCTTCATGTATACTAGCCAATGATCTCTATCTGTGTGTCCATCACTAACAGTTATGGTACTTGCCTACACATGGGTACTAACATGTGGTCACTTTTAAAATTTGTGTCCAGTATCTCATAATTTACATGTACCGGTATATGCAGGCAAAGAGATTTCATTAGACACAAAAGTTATAAGGTCACTTCTAAGTTATTCTTTGGGGAGGTGCTAAAAAGTTCCTAAATTTATTATCAAATCTAAATTATAACCACTCATTTGAGAGAGATGTTTAAAAATCAAATTCAGTTAACAGTACATATTCAGGGTACAAGTACCGTACACTGTACAACTACTGGTACATGTACCCAGCACTTGTTTTAATGGTGGTGCAATAGATTAGATAAACGTACCCAGTTTCCTTGTTATTTATTAACTTCTTCATCTCTGCAGCAAAGACAGCGATGTCTCCTTTCATGAACACTTCGTCGCTCGCCATGATGACTCTGTATAAAAGTAATACCGTGGACTTAAAAGGGAGTATACAAGGCACGTGTGGCTCTCTTCAAAGATTGTGTACTTCGTTGTCAAGCCAAAGCGGAAACGATCTACTTAAACTGGGCATGCGCGTTGCATTATTTCCGGTGTAAACAAGACTTCGAGCGAGGTGGGAATCCTGGGCAGTTATTTATTTTTCGATCTTGAGAACAATGCAAATGAAGTTGTCATTTATGAAGATACATTTATTGCAAGATGCACTTGATTAAACAGCCTACATAGAGAAAAATAACCAGACTTGGTTTGAAAATGAGAAATCAAGACACTGATCTTGTACACACATTCAGCTTTAACGTGACTGAAATGAAGTCTTTGTTTGCTACATGTACATGTGGCTTATTTCTTTTTAAATACTAAAAAAGGTAGAGTTTCATAATTGCTTTACACTTTGACAGCAAGGACTGTTTGCTAGCTTAAAATTTTTATATTTAAAATTACTATTTAAAGATACTATCATACTAGTACATGAAATTGACAAAATTAACCACTAAAAAGGCATAAAATAACACTGATATGTAGGTAAATATATGGCATTAATGCCATCTGAATTTTTGATAAAAATGTTTCCTAACATATTAAGGAAAATTAGATAAACAGTCCACCAGCTGCGTATGCTAATGCTGGTATGTACTGGTAGCTGTATTTATATATATACAGATGTATATGTATTTATATATATATATGTATTTATGTATATATTCTTATTCTGGTATGATTGCTTTAATATTGTCTCTGTTACTCTGCATATTCAGTTACTGTTTCTGACTTTTAGAATACATTTCAGGAGTACTTGTATAACCATGCAGGACAACCACGAGAAAGATCTACCTCTATTTTCTAATGCCAAAGACATCCATGTTAAACACTACATCTTGGACTTAACATGTGATATGCCTGCTAAGACATTCAGGGGCTCAATCACATTGTTTTTGACTCCACTGAAACAAGGTGATTCCTGTAAAAGATACATGAGTCATGGAGTTAATGCTTTAGGATCTACACACTTGAAGCCTGCAGAAGAAGACATAGTAACTGGCACTTCAAGTATGGATACTACAACTCAGGAGTCTACCAGCACCCCCAGTATGTGTTCCTCATGTACTGTTATATTACCATGCTGCACAAAGGATTTTGATTCCAATAAACTAGATGTTAGCCATTATGATAACTCAGGGCATTCATATACCTCGTGTGAACCTCAGGTTGATGTTATGAACACAGTTCTACAGGGAAAAACCAGTCAGGTAGTTGTACAGGACAGAGCACTGGGTGACACACAGGGTTTTGGCAACACTTCCACAGATCCTTATGCAAATATGTGTCATAGAGCTCCACAAATGCAACACAGGCTTAGCCAGACAGATGTTACTAATATACAGCCCTTCCAGTTAGTTCTGGACTGTTGTGACATCAGCATTGTGAGTGTTTCTGAGATCCACTCGATCTCAGTATCACCACCTGATCTGTAATGCCGAGAACACACACAAGAACTATACAGAGTACAGTGAACTATGTCGGCATTGTCATGGGAATAACACTACGAGCCCCCTTCACTTCTCTGTTGAAAAATGGTGTGTTAGAATTTGGAAAGATGGTGTCACGTCTTGTGGTGATTTTCCTAGGGTTGTGAAGATTAACTACGCAACTTCTCCAGCTGGTTTGTCTTTAAAATGGACTTATGATATCTTCCCCTATAAAAACTTGAGCTCATCCATGTAAGTACAATGTTTAACTAGATATAACTCTTTTTACGTTTAGTAGACATGTAGACTAATCATAAGCGGTAAATTAAAGCTCATGTAATTCATGACATATGTTGTGTGTAGTGCTCTATTGGTCATAAACATGTAACAATGATTTTATTTCAAAAATTATTAAAAATGTTATAAATTTTAAATTATGTAAATATGTACATGTATACTGCTTCACTACATTCATATCATTATATAATGAACTTCCTTCCAGCAGCTCCCAGCATTCAGCTGACTCTAGTTGGAAGAAAACACCATGTTCAGCATGCCAACCACTGCCTTGTGTATTTACCCCTGGCACTTGGGTAAACAACAGGTAAAAAATGATTAAGAAGTAGCTTTGTACCATTGAATTTGATGAATGAAAATAAACCTAAATTTACAGATTAAATTTTTTCAGACCATAATAAAATTAGTCAACATACACGCATATTAAGTAATATACTGGAAAGCATGCAGTTTTGGCATATTATAACAAATAAGACTGTGACTCCATGTTTCAAATAATTTTTGATTTGCAGTGTACAGTGCAGATTTTTAACATCTAATCTATAAGTAAGAAGGTGACTCCATGTTCCAAATCATTATTACAGATTTCAAGGAAAGGGGATGTTTGACAATTCATAGAATGCAACAGCTTATTTCAGATCATTCTTCCCATGCCAAGATGTCCCTGGTGCCATGTCAACATGGCAGGCAATGATCCATGTGTCTGAGCCCATGGTGGTCCTGATGACTGGGGAGGAAGATGGTGTGGTCACACAAGGTCAAAATGGTATGAAGAAATACATTGTGCATTGTGCAATTGTAAACTGTGGCCTCATGCTAATTGCCATCAAAATTGAAGCCATGCCAGTAAATAATGTTAAATTGTTCAATTACTGGCCGTTGTTCTGCCTCAAGATAGTTTAGTTTAGTTTCTCAGAGTCTGGTGGGTCAAAGGACCAGGAAATTTAAGATTTTTTTGCACAGACTGATACACATATGTATGAATAAATAATTATGTGCACTTTCTAGGATTAATTTACATGCATATTAAAGTTTATGTACACAGTTGCATTTCACACTTTTGATGTGTCTCATTTTAATCTTGTCAGATTATCGTAATTGGTGTTTTCCATTTTTGTGAGAGTTCACATTTGAATTTGAGCCATGAAATTCTGTGTTTAACATTAAAGAATATTCTAATTATTTCAGCCTTTTCTCATTTTTTCTTTGCTTATAATACTTGGTGTTTTTTCTGTCCATAGGTCAGATGGTGTACTACTTCCAGTCTAGTATGGTACTCCCCAGCTCCACACTTGCCATTTCTGTGGGACACTGGGAATGTGTACTGATATCAAATGCTATGGAAGACACTGTGAGGCAAGTAATGCTAATAGTGGCACTAGTGGTCATTATACGTACAGGGTCCCTTTGCTCATTGTATATCAAGTAAGTTCATGAGGTCCAGTGTCTAGACACTCCTTCTGGACCCGGTTTCATCTGTGCTGGATATATAGGGCTATCCAGCTGCCTTGATAAAACAGGGCCCAAGTCATTTAACCAATGATTTACCAGTATCTATGAATAACAGCTAGTAGTACCTGTAAAAACCATTGGAATTACATTCCTTTCTTAACATCTGAAAATCCACTGCTACAATTCACATTTCTCAAATAAGAAGAAAATGGCAACCTTGAGAAATATAATAATTATGCAATCACTTTCTCTAGAAATTTTATATTTAAGCTATTCAAAATTTCCACATCTATCTAAATACAATAATCAGATGAAGCAAAAATTAACACATTAATTTATCTTGTTTTATTCTCTCCAGAAGTACATATGTTCCTGAATTCTGCTGCCATGATAATGGAGAGTCTTGCACAGTTCACTTCTCACCCAGCCCTATCCTGCCCTGCAGACTCTATGCACCACCATCACTTCTCAGCCAGGCTCAGGCTCAGTTCAAACAATACATTCCTAAGTGTCTTGAGGCAGCTTCCAAATTGCTAGGGCCACATCCCTTTAGGAAACTGGACATACTGATTGTACCACCAGGGTTTGCTAGTCTTGGGATGGCAAGGTAATTCTTTTGTGGATCAGATAAAATATTTAAAGAGATCATGTACTATTTTCTGTATTTGCTATATCCACATTATTATGAGAAAACATTTGTCATTTTATATTCAGTCCAAACCTGATGTTCTTGTCCCAGTCTATGTTGTCTTCAGATGGAAGCATGAACATCAGATTTGCCCATGAAGTAAGTCACTCCTGGTTTGGACTGGTGATAGGAGCCAAAGACTGGACTGAGGAATGGCTCAGTGAAGGATTTGCAACTTATATGGAGGATTTTATTCATGGACTTGCAATAGAGGTGCAGTGCATGTTTAAGATTGTGTTTACAACCTAACTTATACTGGATATAAATATGGGTTTCTCAGTTGTGAATGAAATCTTAGGACTTAATGATTTACTTAATTGTGTCAAGTATATAACTCATAAGTGATAGTTCATGATCAGTTTCTGTAAAGGGCACTTTAAAACACTTGAAACCTGTTTCATTTTAAATGCATAGAAATTTCAGATTTCATAATGGATCTCATGTTTCAGAGAGATGGTTATCAATTATGTTCATCTCAAACATAGTTTAAGAGATTATCTGGAAAAGGAGTTTGAGTACAGTGTCTGGAATGAATGAATAATTTGAAGTTGAAAGTTCATGTGATAATTATGCCTTTATTTAATTTTTATAAATGATTTTAAAATTTATAACAATAAATAATTTAAAACATAAATTTGAAGCTTTCATCATTCCAGTTATAAAAGGACAGAGATCTGTTTTTCAGTTCTGTTTTAACTTGTGCTAAATTTTTAAAGGCTGAGAAACCATGCAGGGCTCATGTCATTAACAAGGCAGACCATGACTTGTCTCACGTGCTTATCACTATTCCAACTTGTCTCATTTAAACCATAAAGTTTAAAGTGCTAGATTGGAAATCTATTATATGTTAACTTGTTTTCTATTTATTTAATTTTAGTTTGTTGATTTTTTGTGACTTAAAGATTTTTCTTATCCATGATGTTTATTTTCAGTGGACAGAAGAATTACAGAGAGATTATTCAGAGCTGAGAGCATTGTTAAGATACAGAACACTTTCAGCAGAGATGGAAATCACTGAAGATGAGTTGCAAACTCTGAGGTAAAGTCCAATACTTACATGCTGTTATGCAGTCATTTCATCAGCTTTGTTCTTCAGTCAAATAAAATCCATACATATTCTTCCATCATTGTGGTCAAGATTACTGCTATGCCACTGTTGAATAATACAAGAATAATGCCTTTGTTAATAAAGCTATGATATTTAATTCTAAAAACTCTCTCTTTGTTTTAGTATAAACAGCCTTGTTAAGCATAAACCTATCCAGATATGACAATAGCAAAACCAAGTGACTTATCAATTCTGTCCGTTTTATTGTTCTCAAGACTGTTAATTATGTTGTAGAAGTTCAGGCCAAGATTCACTGTGGATAGGTCTACTTGTTGGATACGCAGTTACATGTGTCTTTAAAAATTAATACTTTTTTGTTAAAAAAAACAATCTGCATTGCAAGAATCAACTGGCAATTTTAGTAGGCTTAATCTAATTTCATAAAATAATATGCAAGGGTTATTACTGTGTATGTAGAAAACTAAGTACAGGTGAGTACAGATATCCCAAGCTCTCTCCCTTCTAGCACCAATATCACCACAACTACTACTACCAAAGGCTTTTTATCTTGGTTGTTGTGGGGTTTCCTTCATTAACTGGTAACCAGTAATTTTTAATGGTCAACCCAAAAATGCCTGATACTTTTTACATATTTAGTGGTACACACTGATGTATTAAATGTATTTTTTGTTCTCCAGGCCAGCACATGGAATTGAAGTGAAGGATCCTGTTACAGATGTTTCTTTTGTGAAAAATGGGCTAAATTTTGACAAGGGCTTTACACAGGTGCACTATTTGAAGGTAATGCATTTTTATCTAAAATTTATTATGTTCTGCTGTCTCAGATTTCACTTTGATAGCCAAAATGAAAATGAGACATTGCATGCAAATAAATGCATGTGATTGTTTTCTTTAAAAAAATCAAGAATAATGATGGCATTTCCGAAGACAATTTTCACTAAGCAATTTATTCCTTAATTTCAATACTAATTCTTTGAAGAAAAGAATGGCATGATGCAATTTTTCTGTGTAACCTTGAGCTAAACAAAATAACTTATTTTTCAGGGATATTTTCTTCTGCGTCATTTGGCCAGTCTAGTTGGAACTGCCAAATTCAACAATATGTTAAAGTTGTATGTTATGAAGTTTCATGGGCAGCTTGTTTCCTCTCAGGTGAGAAATTGCAGTTCCACTGAAATTTTTCATGGTCTCAAGTTGGCTAGGCATCAAACCTTTTCCAAGAAAATCAAGTTTTGTTTTTATGAGTGTCTGTGGCCCCGTTCCCATACCTTGATCAATCTAGCAGGATCGACCCATCTCTGAGGGGTTTCTCGCAAAGTTACATTTAGCTTAAGCAGGTCCGATGTGTGGCACACCTACTGAAGCTGTTAGGGGGTAATTAACTGTCGTTGAGCAGCTCAAGTAGGCTTCTCAGATATCTAAGACACTTAAGCGAAATGTAATTTAGCAAGAAACCCCTTCATATATGGGTCGATCCTGCTAGATTGATCTAGGTGTGGGAATGGGGTCTGTAATTCAATTATTGTTATTGTTTATCAATCATCCACTAGGGTAGGCTACTGTGGGAAATTTAATGGTCATGAAAGATTAGTTAATGAACTAATCCAAGTTTTACACAATTTTGGAAATCACGGAAGGTGATTATTGAATGAGATCTGTTTCTTTTCCCAGGACTTTCTAGAGTATGTATTTACAACTTTCCCTGAACTTAATAATAAGGGATTAACTATTGAATCTATATACAAGGAATGGCTGGATCACCCAGGAATGCCAAAGGTATCAGTTTTTGTATTCACAATCCTTGACTAATTTCAAGTAATTTTTTCTAGGGCAAATAATGACAGTAATAAGTATCTTGCCATTACTCCCTCTTTAACTACATGTATTTTATTGTACNTCTCTATGCACCACCATCACTTCTCAGCCAGGCCCAGGCTCAGTTCAAACAATACATTCCTAAGTGTCTTGAGGCAGCTTCAGAATTGCTAGGGCCACATCCTTTTAGGAAACTGGACATACTAATTGTACCACCAGGGTTTGCTAGTCTTGGGATGGCAAGGTACAGTTGAGAATTCTCTCTCTATCTATCTCTTTCTTTCTCTTTTCCAAAAGGGCTCTCTTGAAAGTCCTGCAGGTCAGAAATGAAAATATTGGGAGGAGGGGGTGGGGATGTTTGTATGTTCGACCCATTTTAACCTTATACAAAACAGTGTTTGACTGTCTATAGGTCAGTCCAATGTATACATTCGGATCACCTTAGTCTCTCAATATCATATGTTGATAAATTTCTTCACTCCACAAATGTAGCTGCCTCAATTTGTTTCTGTTAACCTAAATTTCCTGTGGAGTATGAATGCAGGTGAATGAAGCAGCATGTATGTAATTCTTTTGTGGATCAGATAAAAGATTTAAAGAGATCATGTACTATTTTCTGTATTTGCTATACCCACATTATTATAAGAAAGCATTTGTCATTTTATATTCAGCCCAAACCTGATGTTCTTGTCCCAGTCTATGTTGTCTTCAGATGGAAGTATGAACATCAGATTTGCCCATGAAGTAAGTCACTCCTGGTTTGGGCTGGTGATAGGTGCCAAAGACTGGACAGAGGAATGGCTCAGTGAAGGATTTGCGACTTATATGGAGGATTTTATTCATGGCCTTGCCACAGAGGTGTAGTGCATATTTAAGACTGTGTTTACAACCTATCTAACTTAGACTTGATATAAATATGGGTTGGTTAGTTGTGAATGTCAAGTACATAACACAGTGATAAATGATAGATCATGCAGTTTCAGTAAAGGGCACTGAATGAAACAAATTAAATGGGTTTCCAATGGAAAAGCAATTTTAAGTGCATATGGAAATATTTCTTGAATAAATATGTATCAAGTTCTTAGATCAATTTACATGAGGAAGATGTGGCATACTTAAAACATTTCAAACCTGTTTCATTGTAAAAAGAATAGAAATTTAAGATTCCACAAGGCATCTCATGTTTCAGAGAAATGGTTATTAATTATGTTCATCCCAAGCATATATATAGTTTAAGAGATCTGGAAAACTACATGTAGTTTGAATACAGTGTCTGGAATGAATGAATGACTAATTTAAGTTAAATCTGTGTGATAATTATACCTATATTTAATTTTCATTGATGATTTTTAAATTTACAACAATAAATAATTTGAAACTTAACTTTGGTGCTTTCATTGTTCCAGAAATAAAATGACAGAGATCTGTTTTTCAGAATCTGTTATAAGTTATGCTAATTTTTTGATGGCTGAAAAACCAAGCAGGGCTCATGTCATTAACTAGGCAGACCATTACTTCTGTCGATGTTTATCACTGTTTCAACTTGTCTCATTTAAATCATAAAGTTTAAAGTGCTAGATTGGAAGTCTATTATATGTTCATTTAGTTTTGATTTATGTAATTTTAGTTTGTTGATTTTTAGTGTTTGAAAGATTTTTCTCATCCATGATGTTTATTTTCAGTGGACAGAAGATTTACAGAGAGATTATTCAGAGCTGAGAGCATTGTTAAGATACAGAACACTTTCAGCAGAGATGGAAATCACAGAAGATGAGTTGCAAACTCTGAGGTAAAGTCCAATACTTACCTGCTGTTATGCAGGCATTTCATCAGTTTTGTTCTTCAGTCAAATAAAATCCATACATATTCTTCCATCATTGTGGTCAAGATTACTGCTATGCCACTGTTGAATAAAGCAAGAATAATGCCTTTTTTTTAATAAAGCTATGATATTTAACTCTAAAAACTCTCTCTTTGTTTTAGTATAAACAGCCTTGTTAAGCATAAACCTATCCAGATATGACAATAGCAAAACCAAGTGACTTATCAATTCTGTCCGTTTTATTGTTCTCAAGACTGTTAATTATGTTGTAGAAGTTCAGGCCAAGATTCACTGTGGATAGGTCTACTTGTTGGATACGCAGTTACATGTGTCTTTAAAAATTAATACTTTTTTGTTAAAAAAAAACAATCTTATGCATTGCAAGAATCAACTGACAATTTTAGTAGGCTTAATCTAATCTCATAAAATAATATGCAAGGGTTATTACTGTGTATGTAGAAAACTAAGTACAGATAGTACAGAAAACTAAGTACAGATAGTAATGAGTACAGATATCCCAAGCTCCCTCTCTTCCAGCACCAATATCACCACAACTACTACTACCAAAGGCTTTTTATCTTGGTCGTTGTGGGGTTTCCTTCACTAATTGGTAACCAGTAATTTTTAATGGTCAACCCAAAAATGCCTGATACTTTTTACATATTTAGTGGTACACACTGATGTATTAAATGTATTTTTTGTTCTCCAGGCCAGCACATGGAATTGAAGTGAAGGATCCTGTTACAGATGTTTCTTTTGTGAAAAATGGGCTAAATTTTGACAAGGGGTTTACACAGGTGCACTATTTGAAGGTAATGCATTTTTATCTAAAATTTATTATGTTCTGCTGTCTCAAATTTCACTTTGATAGCCAAAATGAAAATGAGACATTGCATGCAAATAAATGCATGTGATTGTTTTCTTTAAAAAAAATCAAGAATAATGGTGGCATTTCCGAAGACAATTTTCACTAAGCAATTTATTCCTTAATTTCAATCCTAATTCTTTGAAGAAAAGAATGGCATGATGCAATTTTTCTGTGTAACCTTGAGCTAAACAAAACAACCTATTTTTCAGGGATATTTTCTTCTGCGTCATTTGGCCAGTCTAGTTGGAACTGCCAAATTCAACAATATGTTAAAGTTGTATGTTATGAAGTTTCATGGGCAGCTTGTTTCCTCTCAGGTGAGAAATTGCAGTTCCACTGAAATTTTTCATGGTCTCAAGTTGGCTAGGCATCAAACCTTTTCCAAGAAAATCACAAAGTTTTCTTTTTATGAGAGTCTGTGACCCCGTTCCCATACCTTGATCAATCTAGCAGGATCGACCCATCTCTGAGGGGTTTCTCGCAAAGTTACATTCAGCTTAAGCAGGTCTGATGTCTGGCACACCTACTGAAGCTGTTAGGGGGTAATAAACTGTCATTGAGCAGCTCAAGTAGGCTTGTCAGATTCTAAGACACTTAAGCGAAATGCAATTTAGCAAGAAACCCCTTCATATATGGGTCGATCCTGCTAGATTGATCTAGGTATGGGAATGGGGTGTGTAATTCAATTATTGTTATTGTTTATCAATCATCCACTAGGGTAGGCTACTGTGGGAAATTTAATGTTCATGAAAGATTAGTTAATGAACTAATCCAAGTTTTACACAATTTTGGAAATCACGGAAGGTGATTATTGAATGAGATCTGTTTCTTTTCCCAGGACTTTCTAGAGTATGTATTTACAACTTTCCCTGAACTTAATAATAAGGGATTAACTATTGAATCTATATACAAGGAATGGCTGGATCACCCAGGAATGCCAAAGGTATCAGTTTTTGTATTCACAATCTTTGACTAATTTCAAGTAATTTTTTCTAGGGCAAATAATGACAGTAATAAGTATCTTGCCATTACTCCCTCTTTGACTACATGTATTTTATTTATTAATTCATTTATGCTATGCTGTTTGAGCTTGTAAAGAGCACTCTCAGGCCTGTAGCCAGCAAATCCAAAAGGGTTTTTTTTCTGAAAAAGTGGACCTTTTACAATGAAACTTATGTGTATCTAGATAAAATTTTACCCAAAATGGACCTTTTCCTTTCCCCGAACCCCCCCCCCCCCCGGCTATGGGCCTGACTCTTATGTTGACTTTGATACAACTGTGTGTGTGTGTGTGTGTGTGTGTGTGTGTGTGAATTACCTTCACTATGGCATTTTTTGTCCTTTAGCACCTGACAGGATACCAGCCCAGAGAATTGAACACACTGTACTCTACATCATTAGCTGAGGTATATCTTTTTAGAGTATTTTACTGTTCAAGTATTTCACTTTTTTTCTAGCATAATTCTTGGTTAATAAATGTATCACACAGTCATTCAGCATTTGAAGTTATATGTCACTACAATTTTTTGTTTATTAAGATCCTTGAAGATACAGGAAGTTGTTATTTTCAAATTAAATTTTTTGGATTTCACAACATGCAGTCACTATATTCCTTATACAGTGAAAACCAAATGAAAATGGGGCACAAAATTGACCAGCTTCAGTTTATAAAAACATTTGAAAATAGTTTAGTATCTATTAATAACTTTGTGACATTTGGGCTTAAGATTTTAAGAGTTTTTTTTTTTTGGTCATAGGCTCTAGATTATTCTCATTCTAGTGGGACTGTGTAATGCACTGTAAAGTTGAAATGAATCCAGTTCAAATATTTATTACATTAATGATTGGACATCTCCATTAGCACAAGTCTCTAAAGATATCTTAGCAAATTTTGACCAGATTAGCCATGTTGAATTGATGGGAAAGTTCATAGACAGGAAGCAAGGGAGGGGGGTCTCCAGATACCTTTAAATTGTTATAAACATGATGTCTGTTTTTTTTCCTTATAAAATGTATTAAAATCATTGCAGACTGCTTTGTATTTCACATTACTGACTTTTTTATGTCCGCACCACATAATTATTTATTCTTGACTGCAGTGTCATTAATAAAATGGAGGTTGATAGGTGATTATTTTTATTTGGTTTTAATTATATTCCCATGTCTTCCCTAATAAGTTCTATGATAATTTAATTGCCATTTTTTGGTCAAGTTTAACCACATAGTGGACCAAAACTTAAGGGGTAGTATTTTCTTCAGATATATACGTAACTATTGAGAAAACCTAGTGATAATTACAAAAAAGTTAATATGTAATTAATATATATATATATGTAAGTCATAGTGTGGGTAGTATGTGTTTAACTTTAAAAATCCTGAGATATATAATGCATAGGGGGTTTTATGAATTTGAAAAGGTCAACTCAGATGTATAGAAAAATTACCCAAATGCAACAGTTGTTGTCTGGTGCACCTAGGTTATTCACACTACTTCAAGTGGTAATTCTGCAATACCCAAGGGTAGAAAAAATAGAGAGAGATTTAAGAGAAACACGAAATTTAATGAAGATTGTTGTGCAGTAATAATAGTTCTTAATTATACACATAATAGGTATGCATCACTGGGAGACCTTCTGAACTATTGTATTTCCTCCTTAAAAATTGAATTTTTACATTAGAGACTTTTCTCGGCACAGGTTTAATTGTGTTACTTTAGGTAGAATATCAATTCCAATTTAGTATACTGTATGTTTGTAAATGATTTAATTTTAGGTAGAGAAATGGAGAGATTTAACTGCAAAGATCATGAGGTCAAAGATAAAGAGAAAAGCCAAGAAGTCAAGGAAATGTGAAGAAGTGACATTAGAAGAAGAAAAACTTGAAACACATGTGGGTGCTTTTTTTTTCTTTTTTTTTTTAAGTGAAAGCCGTAGCATTTTGTTCCATATAAAAATATTATAGTGTAGAGTAAAAAAATCTTGTTTTGCTAATAACAATGTCAATGCTCTCAAAAGCCTCATTTTTTCCAGCTGATTGCAGACCAGATTGTACTGATATTAGAACTACTGCTTGAATTGGATAAAATGCCAGCTGAAACCTTGGAGAAACTGCAGGAGCACTATTGTCTTCAAAGCCAAAATGCAGATGTAATTAAGAAAACAGTGGCATTTAACGGAATGTTAAAAACTAATCTTTTGTCTATCAATACACAGCAAGACACTATGCTTGTACTATTGTGCATTTATATTAATTACATTCATCTTTCTAGTGGGGAATTTACTTAAGGAATAAAGTGGCTAATACCTGTGTGAGACTTATAGGTTTGTTTCTCAGTTGACTTGGCTGAAATTTGGAAAAATTTACAAAAAAGACAGTAGAACTTGGGGGCACATTTATCCCTTGTAATTTTACCATGTGACATTTTTGCTTTGATGCCATGATAACAAGGTATCAAAATAACAATAGGTATCAGCAGTGGTTATCAATATTGCTCATGTATATGATTTACAAGGCATTATTACTGCATAAAATGTCAAGCGGTTTTTGAAGACACGAGTTTGCTAATATTCACTTTTCTTAACACTTAAAATTGTATTCCCCCTCCCCTTACAAGTAAGAAGTGACTAGATTAAGAGAGTGGCAGTTGCAATCACTTTTATATAATGAGAAAGTTAAATTGATGGTTTAAAGATATTACAGGTGTCAGTGTTAATTTTGTGCTCATGCTTTCTTTATTTTTCAGGTAAAACACCGCTGGTGTGAACTAATAGTGAAACACAAGCATGTGGCTGGGTATAGCCATCTTCAGGACTTCTTAACTAATCATCAGGTATTAAAGAGAATATGTTCATTTTGTTCATTTTATTGCAGCTGAATCATAAGTTATTGCAAATATAAAACAACAACCAAGGTGCCTATGGAGATTTTGACAAGTAATGAGGTCATTTATCATCTCTAGAACTGATTAATGGCAAAACAAGGAGCAGCATTATGGATTTTCTTCTATCTCAGTGTCTACAGCCATCTTATGATAATTGTGCATTTTTACTGTGTTTCTTGACGATAACATGGAAGATTATTTTCCAGCTGCTTAACAAGCATGTTCTTGAATTAAAAAGTAGTTTGTAAGAATGTATATATTGGGAAACGATAAGTAATGTCAACAATTCAGGAAAAAGAGTCTTTATTGATATAGTTTATAACACATAATACTAAATATTACTGTAATGTTGTTGCTTTTTGATGATTCGTATGACTTATTTAAGAACAGATGGTTGCTGAAGTCTTCAAGTATAGACTGGAAAATACCTAAGTGCTTTAGAATGGTGACTAATTACATGTACGTTTGCTCATTCAGCTAGGGATGCCACAACAATGATTCTGATTGAGAAACCAGGTCTTTTTTTCCAGAAAAATACATTCCAAGTGGGTAGACCCTTGTTACTTAAATCAATATCTTCTTTCATGACAAAGACTACTTGCTTAGTTTATCACCACTTGCATGCAGTGATAAGGAAGTCACATGTATCTGATAACATATAGACTAATGTAAGTGGGGAAATATAAAAAATTGTCCAATTAAGCTTATCTGGTATCTAAACCGGAATCCATCCCAGATCTGCAAATTGCAACTTTGTACAATTGAACGGTTCCTAAAAGTGGCTGTCAAAACCACAGTCTGGATGGCGTGTGACGGCCCACTGTTTTCATGTAGCATTATATTTGTTTCCCTGCGTAAACTCCTGCTAAGGCTGATTCTAACTTTCAGGTTGACTAGTTTAACCAGTATTAATCATATTCATTGCTTTAGATATTGATCTGATTGACTTTGATCTTTGTAAAGCTACATCCAATACAAATGGGGATTCGTCAAGGCAAAAGGCTATACGTTTTCAACCATTGTTCCTGCATATGCATGTTGAACATTAATGGCATAGCAATGACAAAGTAATATGTTCATTATACTCCATGTAATTGGCTTTACCGCTCGCTAAGCACGGAAGTATGGACTGTAAAAGCTGAACTAGTAGACTGGTCTCTTCAGTGGAATCCTTATAGTATGTTTAGTAATTTGAAGAAATAATGACTGGTTTCAGTGTTATTATTGCGCTTTTTTCAATTAGGAACATGCAAGTTTTATGGTGACACATTTTAGAAAAGTTTGTGAAAGTAAAATCGGGTGTTTTACTACGTTTTTGTTGGACTTGATTTATTTACTTTTTAAAAGGAACCTAGGGTTTATAGACGTTTTGTAGCATGCATTTTAATCAAGTAGGCTGTGGAAAAAGAACAATTATAGTAACTTGATTTGCTAAGCGATTGCTCTTTAGATGCAATTTTTTACTTCATCTGTACACACTTTGAAGACATTTTCTCTTTAACTTCAAGTGAAAATTAAAATGCACATAATAACGAATGACTTACAGACAAAATTAGATGCCTATTCTTTCATTTCCCCTTTCAGAGACAACTAACCAAAATAGTTAGGACCTTCTATTTTGGGTTAATTTTCTATTTAAGCATTCTGAGCTTAACTTGAATGGCAGTTGCTGGTATTGTAGTGTTGTATTTGTTTTCAGGCAATGGGAGTGTACTTGTATGGAGAATGCATCATTTCGGGTTCAAAAAGATTGGAACGTCTGGCTCGTACCTGCTACGATCTCACTAAACACAAATGGAAGATGGGACGCGAAGGACTGTGCAAGAAATGTTGACTGGGAAAGCGGCCTCCTCCTATACTTGATAAAATGTAGAGTGGTGTTGATTGGGAAAACTGCCAAGCCTTTTACTTGATTGAGCGTAGAGAAATGTTGACTGGGAAGGCTGCCAAACCTTTTACGTAATTGGACGTAGAACAAAATGCAGGAAGCGCTGCTGAATCTTTAAAGTGGTTGTTGAACTCCAGAATTGGTTTGTGAAAAGACCGTTCTATCAGAGGCACGCACACGCACGCACGCACAGAGAGGGAGAGACGGGTTGTCTGAGAAGGAATCTCTCTCTCTCTCTCTCTCTCTGTGTGTGTGTGTGTGTGTGTGTGTGTGCGTGTGCGTGCGTGTGTGAGAGTATGTAAGTTACATGTACATCCTCTTTTCAGGAGCTGTAATGACTTTTGGACAAAGAAAATTACTTCAGCTAGCCTAATTGACATGTTTACCATCTCTGTCACATGGAACTTAACGTGGGAGATTAAATATAACCTTCCCAAAGCAGACACGCTTCGGATCTAGGCGAGAAGTACTTGAAATAACGATTGATAGAGCATTGCCTTCATTTGTTGAATGCTCAGTTATGGCTTTGTACTATCGTTATCACAAGTTTGTTTATAATGACGTTACGAAAATAAATATAATGAAAACAAATATGTTCAGTCCTTACATTGTAACTAATTTTGACTGAGCGAGAGCGAATTATTTTTGTATAAGTTCTGTAAATCTTAATTTTATAAGAAATAGATGGATAATGTGTCACATTCTGTTTTTTTCTTATGTATTGTTATTTGGCAAAAAAGTTTTTGTGTTTTTCAATTTATTTAAAAGGTTTGAGTGACAGATATGTCGATTGGAGAAATAAAATATAAACGAAATAAGCCCATAAATGAAATGCGCTACGGAGCTATTTCTTTATCGAATTCCCGGTGAATTTTATTATGGCCAAAGGAACTAATTTTATCTAGTTTCCCAATGTCTATCGCATGACACAATAATGTTAAAGAAAAGTGCAAGTGACTAAAGGAAACAATCCGCAGTTTATCTAGTTTCCCAATGTCTATCGCATGACACAATAATGTTAAAGAAAAGTGCATAACGCAAGCAATTTGTTTTGTTCTATATGTACTACCATTGCCTAATTCCACTTGAAGCTGGTATACGGTCTTTTTTGTGCAATAATAAACCATGAAGTAGCTTCAAAGATGGTAAACATGGCCCCAACAGTATTCAGTGAAAAATTGAATCGTTAAAAAAACATCCTGTCGTTTGTAATGAACGAAAACAGTACTTGGTTAAAAAAACGATGTTCAGAAAGTATGCACAGGAAGGTTGGGCGTGAATAAAAATCTCTCGAGTTTTTCTCTTCCATGTTTGAACCTAGTCTACAAGATAAGAGTGGCAACAGGCGATGTTGGTATTTTACCCTGTGAGATATAATGTACCACCTATAACATACCACTGCAATATATGAGCTCATTCCCAACGAAACTATCGTTCTACGTAGATCGGGGGGGGGGGGGGGGGACTTTCGCTGAATGCAGTCAGATAAACAGATTAACACGCCCGCCTCCTTCAAGCGTTGAGTAGCATACAGAAAAGCTGGTGATTATACAAGTGCATTGAAAACGAGGAGGCATGTAAATCTGTTGAACTGTCAGCATTCAGTGAAAGTTCCCGCTGAGTTAAATCGATCTACGTAGAACCATAATTTCATTGGGAATGAGACCTATAATTACGAAGGACAACTACTACTGTATTCACAGATGGACAAAACTGACGAAGAGTACCCTTTGAGATGCATTGTATAATTATCAAAAACGGGAGATTTGCATATACTTTCTAAGTTTTACCACTCTTGGTTCGCTAAAAACTGTTTAACATCCATGTACACTAACTTCAAACGCGTGTTGCCAAGAATTGACAGAACAATGTAAGGGACAAAATTTGTGCCAGTGATTCTTTTAATTGCTACTCTGTGATGTTTGCGTTACACTGGCAACTTCGTCGCAAAATTAAAACTGTCATGATTATACTCTCTTGTTGCTTCATTTTCTAAGAGCGGATTGTGTGACGTGTTCACATTTTTCACACCCATTTCCAATGGAAATGACACCGCCATTGATTGTTTTGTGGGAACTTTGCTCACACTTAGCTAGGTGCGTGAATCCACAGGTTAATGTATGTAGTCTAAATTGAAAAGTGCAGTTTTAGAAATATTCAGTATTATTTGTTTTGTTCTGGAAAAACATTGTTCTGGCTCAAAAGCTAGATGTTATATGTTTTCTCTTGATTTATCAGTTTTGTTCTTTCAGTCCCATATTGATAAAAAAAAACGACTTCCGATTTTTTTTTTAATTTAATTTTATTATTTTTGTTTTGGTAGTAGTTGTTGTTTGCAATAGATGGATTCTATTACACGTATATTCTCTGCAACTTTACAACGTGGTTCTACTTACAAAGAGGATTTTTATTTTCTTCAGAAGAAAAATGCCTGATTCTGATAAGCAATAAGCACCTCCCCCTCATTTTGATCGCGAATCCGCCTGTGGTATTCCAATAAACCACTCCATAAAGTAGTGGCATAATACAAAAAGGCAACCAGCCGAGAGAGGTCGATTAGATTGATGAAGTGTCACCTATATCAATGATATAAGACGTGAGGAATATCCGCTGTTGAAAAAACGTGTCTTCACCAACAGATCAGCCTCATCTCCTGAGATAATCTTGTCAAACCTAGCCTCATGACTGTTTTGTCTCCGAGATTATCGTTTTATTACACTGTAGTTATGACAAATATGATTCGTTCATGCAGGGGTGCTGGCACTTAGGTTTTCTATCCGCCGGTTGAAGTGTGGGATTAGAATGAATAATGAAAGTAATGGGTTAGAGGGTTATCGTTATATTCAATATTCATTTGCATTATAAAACTATATTTTTTAACAAAGTAAAATATATATATTCTTATGTGTATCGGTATTTTATCTGAATAATCCTTATCGCGTACAAATTAAAAGAGATTTAGCCATAGTAACATAATTTTTTAACTGAATCTCTGATGATTTGATTAAATTATGTATTTGATCAGATGTATAAAGCTTTAAGATATCCAAGGATGATAGTGGACGCTTGGTTAACTATCCCATCGCTTGGTTGCCCCACCTACTTTTTACCGAACTAAAACTTTGCACAGCCTTTTACGTCTATTGAATTTATCACTAATACATTTTGTGTGCTAATGGGTGACGAGGTTAGAGATTAAGTGCACAACCAGAGGAATGCACGAATAGAGTTTGAACAGTGCAAAATGGAAGTGTCAGAAAAAATTACTTTTAATACACAGTTTAGAAAAATATTTCGGAAACGACATATATCCGACGCACGCTGTTACTGCAGCGGAAATACAAATTGTATGTGATAGCAAAAAGATCATTTTCAAAGATGATATATTACTTTTTTGTGCTTCATAATTTTTAATTATATTTTGCAAGCTCTTTTATTTTATTTACCAACACCACAAACATTCTGTATCATTGTGGGGATAAACATTACATACGGATGAGACCACAAGGAACTAAACCTAAATGCTATTACGAAGCAAAAAAGAAAAAAAGATAGCATGAGGACAGTAGCAGATTAGGATTTTGCAAGATGAGGCACAAGGATGAAAAACAAATAATATTAATAAGTAGATGAGGACAGTTTAACGATGAAAAAAGTAATTAGTATTGCCAAGGCTAGCTCGCAAAAATGTTATGTGGGGAGGGAGAAAGGAAAGAAGTGGGGTACATGTACGGACCTGAGCAGGGTAAAATTATGCAGGGATTATATTTGTACCTAACCGTCTAAGATTACATTTAGGGTAAATATTATAAAACATGGACTATTATCGAGTGAGAAAATCATCGCATAGAATATCCACCATTCAATCACTGATTTTGAATCTGTTGCTGTTTGTCTTAATAATAAAACGCGCAAAATGAAATAAAATATATAATCCAAACAATCAAGATAAAACATGACTTAATAAGCATTTTAAAAATAAGGCTTTTAATCTTTTTATGAATGTATACTATTAGAACATAGACATTCATTTTTTAGTTCGTGGACTTCGGTACAACGTGGAATATCATGATATGAGATCACAATGACAGCTTTTTTCGTTCTTTTATTTAACATTTTGGTGGAGTTGACCTTCATTCTTTTCCATTTAAATCGAATCGGTGGAATTCCATGTCTGCTAGGCACAGATCCTATAAAAGATTTTGTGCTAGTATGATGAAAAGGTGCCCAAAATGGTTGCACTAATAGACATTGGGAAGTTTTAACAGATAAAATGTGTATTTTTAATACAAATTACGCAAAAAGTGACTCACTAGTAACACAATTTAAATGAATTGCCATCAAACATACAGTTGTAAGAGGAAAACCAAAAAGAAATCGTTTTCGCTTATTTTTTTAAAAATCTTGTACAAACATTTTGAAAAAGAGACAAAGTTATAATCATCTCCTTTGAAAGCGATAAAAAGACCAGGTGCCCCCGATACTGAGAAGACATTTTACTTATAAAGCGCATCTCCAGTATAGAACGTTGAAAAGTTCCTTCATAAATTTGATCATCGATACAGTACAAGTTCAAATGACAGTGCATTTTGGTTAAGAATGTTTGAAGTAATTCCGGCTTATCCGAAATAGCAATTTGACATCCCAATGAATACAAGTCCATGACTTAAAAAGGTGAGGTCTTTCCTTTCAAAACACCCAAAGCTTTTCGTCGTTGACACCAATCCCAAGTAGCCAAGTAGGCGGTTAGCCAAAACGGTTATCCAATACTGATGGTTAGTGATGAAAAAACCAATGGTGGCACTAATAAGTCGCATTCAGTTCCAGAGGCGCTTCCTTAATATATGTGCATCTGTCGATACACGTCTTGTGTAGCACTAAACATTCATGTACATAGGTGCTGGCACTCTTGACGCAGTAGACGAAGAGAGGGTTGCACACTTTCTGCAGGCATTCTGAATGAAAGATATGGAAAAGATGCTTATCGAATATTTTTTGTAAAATTATTCAAAATACGAGTTTAAGTGCGCGCCCTTGACACAGGGGTTGAACAATAAGAATAGAATAACATTTAGACAATACTTAAAAGTAAACAAATTAATATCAAGTTGAAACGTATGCTTGTTTTACGTTAAGGTTAGAAAAGTGGTACAGTTTATGAAGATTTAATTAAAGAAAAAAAAAAAACAAGTATCCGTAGTCAGAAAAGTCAAGTGCAAATACTCGTACATCTGTGCTGGGTGTTATTAAAACAACTGGATTGTGGGTAATAAAGGAATACATAACCTCCTTAATCAGTTCTCGAGGAGAGGTTAAAACCCATGCGTCTGACAATCAGAAATAAGAACCAGGTTAAAAACAAGTTGGTAATTGATTTTGTTTCATTCATTTTACATTGCAGGCTAATTACGATTACGCACAGGCACTTTTCGACCATGTACGTGGGCCGATTTGAAATTCAGTTGTTTTCTATGTCCTGGCACCATGTTTAATGAAGATTCTTATGATTCAGTGTAACGTGGATACAGTACCTTCCATACCGGTATTCTCTAGGGTCGCCTCATTTGCCTCAGTCTGTAGGTGTGTCGTGACAGATTTTTTGGTCCACCAAGCTAGAAAAAGAAGTGTTAAGTCTGTTAAGTATTAAAGCGACCGCTGAGATGAATCGTGCCAAGTGAGGACGACCTAGCTTTAATGGAAATACAAATTAAGTGAATACACGCCATGATCTCAACTTATATCGCTCTCTCTCTCTCTCTCTCTCTCTCTCTCTATATATATATATATATATATATATATATATATATATTGTCGTTACGTTTTTAAAAATATGCTATCAGATATGAGGTTGCCTTTTACATTGATGATATATTCAGCAAAATGTGAAGCGTTAAATTGTTTTATAAAAAGCGTCATAAAATTACATATTGTAAGACGCAGTGACGCAAAATGTTTCTCTTGCACTTACCGTTGCCTTTTGCATATTCGTTTGACGGCCATCTTTTAGATTTCATTTGGATTTCTGACTGAGGAGCTTCGTCATTGGATAATATTTGTAATGATTCAAAATATCCAGGAAGCGCCTTTCCATATGCACCTGAATAAAAGAGAATTTTTTATGAAAAAGTAGGCAAGACAAAACTGATGAGTTGATTAACGAGAAAACAGAGTAGAGCGACAAATAACATTACTATCTTTGTATTCTAACGAGCATAGCAGCTTTTTGTGGAAATGCCTTATCCCATGCGGACATTCTATAGTATGAAAACAACAACAGTAAGGTTTTCCAGGGCTCACTTGTAAATTTCTTACCAAACCCATAATAAATGCATTTTTCATTCGATAAATAGACGCGAAAATAAAATTTGATTTCCTCAAAATAAAAATCGGTCGCACTTGTTAACCAACTTATCAATTTTGTCTAGCCTAATGTATTTTCTTACAAGTGTTCCCTTTTAAAATGTAATGGAACCAAAGTAGATATATTGTCTAAAATTGCATTATGCTATTTGCTCTTAAGCTATGAAGTGAGCCGTAACATCTTCAACACTGCATGGGCAGAATTATTGCCTACTCGTATTTTTATAGTAGAATTTTTAGAAATTGACGGCAGTGGTGCGTAGCCTAATACGTAGCATAAAATACACCGTTTTTCCGAACTGAAACTTTTCAATTTCACGCCGAACAAAGGGATTCCCCTTTGTTTATTGTGTTTTCAATTGACTATTGGTGTCAAGGGGATCGCGTCATTAAGGTTCGGATAGGCAAAATGATGCGTTTTAGATTCGATGACCGGTTTCATTGTTAAAGAAGAATTAAGATGGCACAATTATGTGGCACTCGAGGTATCATGTTGTCGCTAATCACCTCAATACACGAACACCGTCTGTGAACGCGGAATACTGAATACCGTGAAACAGTGGCAAGGTTCTTGCTTTGAAATCCCATTATATTGCCCATAATGTCAGCACTTGGAGATGTATGTTATACAGTTTAAAAGAATCCTACTAACGAACATCGCAAATATCATTAAGTACAATTAAGTGAGATGTATCAAATCGCGTTCAATTTTACATTTGTTTACAAATGCTGTTTTTAAATAAAGCAACATCAGTGAAGAAACACCATGTCTAATAGGCCATCGATCGTTCTGATATCAATTAGCGCTATTGCCCTAATACAAACTATTCACTTACACAAGCAGACTGCTGAAATAAGGCACAATAAAGAAATCATTGTCTTTAAATGTCGTGTTGATATTTTAATTGTAATTGTTTTCATTTCTTGTAATAAAGCATAGTATAAAACTTTTATGTTTGATAAACACAATATAATATGAATGTTAGCAAATATAGCATAATATGCAGTGAATATAGGGTAATCTTTAAAATTTGCACGTAAATGTTCGGATTCACCTATCGACAATACGTTTCACGTCTTTACATAAATTGCAGCAGTTTGGCGAGCGCATGTATCAGCTATCGTGCTATCACCATTATTCGTATCCATCTTTCCGTTTTAACTCGTGCATAAAGGTATTGAATTTGTTGCTGGATTGCTGGTAGATCAGAATAATGCAATGTTTGTGAAAATTATTCAAGGACGGATGCCAGAAGATATTTGGTTTGAACTTGCTGCGATACATGCCATGGCGATCGTTGCACGGATTTTACAATGGTTGGGCTAGTGCTGTGGTTTAAGTATTTTAAAATCGATTGTCCAGTTTACAGAAAGCGTGTTCACCGCATCGTACACTCACGCCCATAGGAAGCCCACGCCCCTTTTTAAGATCCATGTGTTTTCTACATACGCATAGATGGTTGCTCAGAACAACTGAACACATTTTATTCAAAGCATTTAAAATTGCAAAAAATATATAAGTCGGTTGATGCATAAATTTATCCCCAATCACCAATGCTCTCACCATTTAACTGGCGACCGCGTTATTGAAAAAAAGTGTGATCCACAATATTACTCACGAAAAAGAACAAATGCGTTTGTCTAAGATTCACCGTGGAAATCCGAGCATAGCGCTCGGATACTAAGACTAACTACAGGCACGAGTGGTTTATGTTATATGCCAAGTCTCAATTTTAACAAAGTTCCAATAAAACATACTCCAATTTTATATCAGATAACGTCATGGATCTATTTTGTCATTTAATACACATTTTGCAGTGAAATGGAGCCTTTCCCTTGCCAAATTTCATACGTAAACTTCATGTTTCTTCCTTATGAGTAGGTAATTGGTGTGCTTTTAAGAAGCTTTTCCAGTGATAAAACATTTTTGTTCATGGTAGGCGCCTTATTCCTGTGCATTTGCAGTTATTGTGTTTTATTTAAGCGCAAAAATCAATGGTTAAATGAATTAGATTTCAGCTGTTTCACTGATTTCTAAACATGAAACACGACGTTAACAAAGCACGGGTCGGAAGCGCGCTTGGTCGTATCCAATTGATGTAGTGTAAATGTGCCGCCGGTAAAACACGTCTTGAGCCCCACATAAGAACAAGAATTGCAGGTGTTAAAACAGTTAGATATGTACAAAGACATTTATAAAAGATGATGAATGGGCAAATGAACTTGTTTCTGTGGCATAGAAATCAATCATGGTTAATCACAACTTTTTTTTAATTTGAAAAGAACAACCTTTCACGGTTATTTTCGCAAGCGACACAAAATTGTTATACGGTGTATTTTCTTCTTGTTGTGGGGCAAATTAAGTAAGAACTTTTTGTAACTACTTTATGAGACAGATGGAATATTTTTAATTGTCTAGTCTTTAGTTTATTTTGATACAATTTAAAACATATTCTTTCAAAGACTTTGCATGATCCTCTGAGGTCACAGTAACAATCAGGGCCTTTCCAAGAGCCAAACTGAACTACTTTAAGTGTCGCACGGCCAGTTCCATACAAATCAACTATCTCCTCATGTTGACACTGGTCTAGCCGGGATCGCCACCCCTGCAGACCACGAGTAACGTCCTGTGTCATTCTTCTGCAAATACCCGAGCCAAGGAGCCTTTTCCACTAAGGCTCCATTCAGAATAGGGGACTAACTAGTCCGAGGGTCAAATATGGCGACCCACTACAAAGCTTGCCGTCTAATCCGCTAATACCGCTAATAGACACTGAATAGATATCCCATGGAGAAGTATTCAAGTGGGTCGGCCATATTTGAACCTCGGACTAGTTAGTCCCCTATTCTGAATGGGGTCTAAGTCTAAAGAACTTTTGATATTCTCAGACAGCCACAATCGTAGAGCCGACGCTTCCAAGCTAGGTCTAAGAGCTTTTAAGAATCATTAGCCTTAAACAGATGGATTGGATATATCTAAGTGGGCTGTTGTCATAACTGATAATAAAAATCATTGTCAGCACAATCACAATTTGCTCTATGAGCTTAGGTAAGACAGAAAAAAAGGGGTAAGGGGTATGTTAGAGTCTTTGTGAAACATGTTCTATATTGGCTAAGATTTTAGCTCTTTGTTGGCCCTAGATTCAGCTCAAAAGGGTAGACCACTTAAAATCATAACAGGATTCTCAGTATGCAGTTGTGTGTACTCGTCTCCATAAAAGGAGTTATTTTAATTGGACTGAGTAATTTTTAACGAAGGTACCAATAAGTGATATGGCATTGCCCCTTGCTCTAATCCTGAGCTACTGTGGTTTTATTAGAATAATGTTAATAATGTTGCACGTAAGTACATACCTTGAATGAACATCAGTGTTGCAACTGTGATCACTATAACATGCACCACAGATAATGGTAGATCCATCAGCCTTATTCTCTGAAAATGAAATATAATCGAGTTTTGTGGTAAATTTGTATGGGGAATAACACATTGTCATTAAACAATTCGGAAAGGTTCACCTCAGACATGTTATAAAAATTAGACTACTCTGCCAAGTACTAGAACAGCCAGTAAAAGTACACATTGTAAGGGGGTAAAACTGTCTTATTTCTTAAGCTCTGCTGAAACTATTACCGCCAAACTTATGCAAAGTCTGATTTTCCTGATATTTGATTCTGCAAGCCCGACATTCATGCACTAGAGACATATAAAAATGGTTCTGAATCTTTTAGAGGCGGTTTAACACGCCTGAGGAATAGTGATTGTATAGTTTTTGCCGACCCTAAAGTGAATTAACCAAATTAATTTGGATCGGCTCTGTAGCTGTTAATAGTGACTATAATGCGTTTTGGAGATGTCGGGCGTTAATTGCTCTCTTGTCAGCCGACCCCAAGGTAAGTTAGCTCAGTTACTTCATTACCTAAAAATGTTTCAAGCAACTTCACGTCTGTCTATGCATTCAAATGGTGTAGGGTATGTTACATGTGTTCTATTCTAGACCACATTCTAGTGCATAGTTTAGACCAGTTATGAAAAATGTCTAGAATGCCTTAAAGCATTTGCTCGGGGTGAGATGTTGATTGCTTTCTAATTTGTTGGGTTCACAGCAAGTTTTCCAGTCAATTATGTTTCTGCTGGTTGTCATCCCTTAATTGTCAGATTACATTTCAGGCAAATCGGTTTCCTGTCTACCGCCTAGTTCATTTTCTCATATCTTAGTCTTATCACTTATCATCCAGCAATCTGTCTCCCTTTCTCCCACAATCAAGAAATGATTCAATTTGTATCTTGTATTTATCAATTAAATCAGGATTTATCTTTTCTTAAAATATCCGATATTGGGCAATGATTGACTTAAAATCAGATACATGGCATTTAGTCATGGCTTATCAAGACCCACAGTGGGTTCCCCGTGTTTGTGATATCTCGTTTATAATTTGAATTGACGAATGAATCGCGCCCCCACTTGGGAAGAACCACTGACATAATCTCTCTCTCTCTCTCTCTCTCTCTCTCTCTCACACACACACACACACACACACATGAAATATCCGTAAAGAATTTATCTCTGTCTAAACCTCCCTTTCTCCACCCCTCCTCCGTCACTCTATAAACACGTAGGCCCTATACAGCAGAATGTTATTGCGTCCTGCCCCGCCTAGCACTGTCACGATTTTCTGTACAGTATATCCAAAATGGATCACATTGCTTATTTTCATCGCACTGGGCGCTTAACTCTAGACTATCTCTAGATCATCTTTTGTCATGGAATGCTTTATTTTGGTCTCCTCCTACAGTATATTTTTTCAAACTAAATAACTGAAACTAAAGTTTATTTAACAATTTGAAATTTAGTATGATGATTCACTTACCTGTTTCGTTCTTTTACTGCCAATCATTTGATAATTCAATCCAAATCTTTAAAAGTTGTTTTACTTGAAATTGCTGTAGTAATCTCCACATGTAGTTCCTTTCAGAGCCTTTTTATTTTTTTATCTTCTATTGTTTTTCTGGGAAAGATATCAGTTTCTTGACTTTTGGCAACCTTTCAAACTGTGTGCTCTGGGCGCTCTCTTCTGCTTTCCCTGTTAGAGAGCATCAACTGCATCACTTTAAATACTGCCCAATAAAGTTGACTGTTGCCTAGCAACCGTTTTGAGGCGCATTTTCGTCTCGCAACGCAGGCGGCCTACAACGCATTATATACAAAAGGTGTAAAAGGCCATCATACTCTCAAAAAACAATCGTTGTCTACTGAACAATGACGTCAAGTTTTATAAAGTCGATATTGGTCAGTTATTTATTAATTTTTTCTTTGTCTTGAAATGCATTTGTGTGATTTCATGAACATATAAAAGTATAACAATAGTTGTCACGTCGGTCCATTTTTTTGGTTAGCAAAAGTAGGTGGAGCATTCAAAACGGACCAGATTATCGAATTAACAAATCCCATTAGAACATTTTTCCAGGCCTCCCACAAAGAGGCATAGACAATCATGCATGACGAAAAATTCGTTTGCTTGTTAATCCAAAGGGAGTCCAATCATGCACAGAAATTCTAGGGTATTTTATTACGAAATGAGTGTATTGAGATTGACAGAAAGGTTTTTTTGTAATGCTTACCATCTTACGATCTCATAAAAACATTGACAAGTTTTTAGCTCGCATTGTTGGGTTATTTGTTTACCTATTTGATTTAGGTTTGGAACATTTCTTTGAGTATTTTTTCCGGTGTGAATCACAGCTGAGTCAATTTCATTTTTATAAAAAACAGTTAAGGTTTATTAGATTCTCTCAACTAACCGCATGACAAGCCCGTCTCTCAAATCTGGACACATTCTATACCATGTTTTGCGAATCTGAGTGCAGTGTTTAACACCAAAGAAATTGGTCTCGCGTCCTGTTTGAGGGGACACAGATGTCCTGAAAGGCAAAATCAATACTATCAATGCTCGATACGGTTGCTCATCGGGATTGCCGTGTCCTTTGGGCGGATATGCTGTATCAGATTGTGTTATGTTAGTGTTTTTTGCATCAATGTCGCTGGGAGCGTCTAAAGAAACCAGACCGCGGTAACCGCCTGTTTACATGTAACACAGTGACTGAGCGCCCTGGAAACTATTTATCGCAAAGATCGTTTCGCACCATTTTCACTACTGTATATTTCTACCTGTCGACAAGTCTTTTCTAAAAGAAAAACTATATGTTCAAATTTTGATAAATGTATTAGAAGTATAAGAAATATTTACAAATTGACTCACGTGATTTTTGTCATTATCATCATTTTTGTATTATTATTATCAACTACTGAAGGTTTCACCAATTTTGCACTGGTCATGCGCTCATGCGGGATTTGATAGATGCGTATTTCGACCTAGAGAACCGTAATAGGCCAACTGTACGGTGGATAAATGCATGTACAAAACATGTAGCCATTCCCAAATTTTGTGAAACTGATTAGAATTGAATGATTTGTAACGATAATTCCTTCTGCATATTGCATGATAGGATTGATTGACTATTATTAGTGCATAATTTGTTAGCGTAAATGAAAATTGCCCTGCTGAGATGAAAACACCAATTACATCTCATATATACTGTGCACATGAATAAATATGTTCAGGTCAAATAATGCTCATTCGTAGCACTTTTACTGTACACTGTATTTGCGATAGTTTCAGAAGAAGCCAATTTGATCAAACACCCATGTACCATGGAACTTGTTTTGGCTGTACAACCTTTCCATAATATACTAAAATGCTTTTCATTAACCCACACACACACACTCCATGCGTAATTGACTACAATAAAACAAGGCAAATGTCCCGATGTTTTAATTTGTATCTACTTTCATACAAGCGAGGATACAAAAATTGCTAAATGTCGGTTATTCCAAATGCATTGGCCATTCCGTCCTTCTTTAAACCGGCAGTGGACAGCAAACACCATGGCATTACTTTCGGAACCCCACAACAACCAGATTGCTTCAAACTATTTATTACTCAAACCCCAGCTAAGGGATTACTCAGCGTATATTTGGTACCCTTATGTCAAGGACACACCATTGCTGCATCATTGACGTTTTCTAGGTTGTATAATATTAATTTGGTTGTATAAGGTTAACTATTAACTATATATATATATATATATATATCGAATGAGTAACTTCTGACGAAATACACCCCCAAACGCGTAATTAACACCGCTGTGGTTACATGGATGGTTCAATAAAATCTATTCCAAGTCGAAGGCCATGCGATTAAGTGCCGTTTAAGTGGCGCTTAACCACACAGTGATAGAAAACATCACGAAATCATCTCCCTGACCCACGCTAAAGACATGTAACGGCAAGTACACGCTTTCTGTGAAAGCGCAATGAACAAACGCCAAAATTTGGGCGTGGACNTGAAAATGAAATATAATCGAGTTTTGTGGTAAATTTGTATGGGGAATAACACATTGTCATTAAACAATTCGGAAAGGTTCACCTCAGACATGTTATAAAAATTAGACTACTCTGCCAAGTACTAGAACAGCCAGTAAAAGTACACATTGTAAGGGGGTAAAACTGTCTTATTTCTTAAGCTCTGCTGAAACTATTACCGCCAAACTTATGCAAAGTCTGATTTTCCTGATATTTGATTCTGCAAGCCCGACATTCATGCACTAGAGACATATAAAAATGGTTCTGAATCTTTTAGAGGCGGTTTAACACGCCTGAGGAATAGTGATTGTATACTTTTTGCCGACCCTAAAGTGAATTAACCAAATTAATTTGGATTGGCTCTGTAGCTGTTAATAGTGACCTTAATGCGTTCTGGAGATGTCGGGCGTTAATTGCTCTCTTGTCAGCCGACCCCAAGGTAAGTTAGCTCAATTACTTCATTACCTAAAAATGTTTCAAGCAAGTTCACGTCTGTCTATGCATTCAAATGGTGTAGGGTATGTTACATGCGTTCTATTCTAGACCACATTCTAGTGCATAATTTAGACCAGTTATGAAAAATGTCTAGAATGACTTAAAGGATTTACTCGGGATGAGATGTTGATTGCTTTCTAATTTGTTGGGTTCACAGCAAGTTTTCCAGTCAATTATGTTTCTGCTGGTTGTCATCCCTTAATTGTCAGATTACATTTCAGGCAAATCGGTTTCCTGTCTACCGCCTAGTTCATTTTCTCGTATCTTAGTTTTATCACTTATCATCCACCAATCTGTCTCCCTTTCTCCCACAATCAAGAAATGATTCAATTTGTATCTTGTATTTATCAATTAAATCAGGATTTATCTTTTCTTAAAATATCCGATATTGGGCAATGATTGACTTAAAATCTGATACATAGCATTTAGTCATGGCTTATCAAGACCCACAGTGGGTTCCCCGTGTTTGTGATATCTCGTTTATAATTTGAATTGACGAATGAATCGCGCCCCCACTTGGGAAGAACCACTGACATAATCTCTCTCTCTCTCTCTCTCTCTCTCTCTCTCTCTCTCACACACACACACACACACACACACATGAAATATCCGTAAAGAATTTATCTCTGTCTAAACCTCCCTCTCTCCACCCCTCCTCCGTCACTCTATAAACACGTATGTAACAGAATGTTATCGTGTCCTGGCCAGCCTAGCACTGTCACGATTTTCTGTACAGTATATCCAAAATGGATCACATTGCTTATTTTCATCGCACTGGGCGCTTAACTCTAGACTATCTCTAGATCATCTTTTGTCATGGAATGCTTTATTTTGGTCTCCTCCTACAGTGTATTTTTTCAAACTAAATAACTGAAACTAAAGTTTATTTAACAATTTGAAATTTAGTATGATGATTCACTTACCTGTTTCGTTCTTTTACTGCCAGTCATTTGATAATTCAATCCAAATCTTTGAAAGTTGTTTTACTTGAAATTGCTGTAGTAATCTCCACATGTAGTTCCTTTCAGAGCCTTTTTATTTTTTTATCTTCTATTGTTTTTCTGGGAAAGATATCAGTTTCTTGACTTTTGGCAACCTTTCAAACTGTGTGCTCTGGGCGCTCTCTTCTGCTTTCCCTGTTAGAGAGCATCAACAGCATCACTTTAAATACTGCCCAATAAAGTTGACTGTTGCCTAGCAACCGTTTTGAGGCGCATTTTCGTCTCGCAACGCAGGCGGCCTACAACGCATTTTATACAAAAGGTGTAAAAGGCCATCATACTCTTAAAAAACAATCGTTGTCTACTGAACAATGACGTCAAGTTTTATAAAGTCGATATTGGTCAGTTATTTATTAATTTTTTCTTTGTCTTGAAACGCATTTGTGTGAATTCATGAATATATAAAAGTATAACAATAGTTGTCAAGTCGGTCCATTTTTTTGGTTAGCAAAAGTAGGTGGAGCACTCAAAACGGACCAGATTATCGAATTAACAAATCCCATTAGAACATTTTTCCGGGCCTCCCACAAAGAGGCAGAGACAATCATGCATGACGAAAAATTCGTTTGCTTGTTAATCCAAAGGGAGTCCAATCATGCACAGAAATTCTAGGGTATTTTATTACGAAATGAGTCTACTGAGATTGACAGAAAGGTTTTTTTTGTAATGCTTGCCATCTTACGATCTCATAAAAACATTGACGAGTTTTCCTTTAAGAGTTTTTAGCTCGCTATGTTGGTTTATTTGTTTACCAATTTGATTTAGGTTTGGAACATTTATGTAAGTATTTTTTTCCGGTGTGAATCACAGCTGAGTCAATTTCATTTTTAGAAAGCAGTTAAGGTTTATTAGATTCTCTCAACTAACCGCATGACAAGCCCGTCTCTCAAATCTGGACACATTCTATACCATATTTTGCGAATCTGAGTGCAGTGTTTAACACCAAAGAAATTGGTCTCGCGTCCTGTTTGAGGGGACACAGATGTCCTGAAAGGCAAAATCAATACTTTCAATGCTCGATACGGTTGCTCATCGGGATTGCCGTGTCCTTTGGGCGGATATGCTGTATCAGATTGTGTTATGTTAGTGTGTTTTGCATCAATGTCGCTGGGAGCGTCTAAAGAAACCAGACCGCGGTAACCGCCTGTTTACATGTAACACAGTAACTCAACGGCCTGGAAACTATTAAAAGATCGTTTCGCACCATTTTCAATGTAAAAAAAAAAAAAAGAAGACGGAACCGTATCCCCACACTACAGTATTTTTCTACCTGTCGACAAGTCTTTTCTAAAAGAAAAAACTATATGTTCAAATTTTGATAAATGTATTAGAAATATTAAGAATATTTACAAATTGACTCACGTGATTTTTATTATTATCATCATTTTTGTAATTATTATTATTATCAACAACTGAAGGTTTCACCAATTTCGCACTGGTCATGCGGGATTTGATAGATGCATATTTCGTCCTAGAAAACCTTAAAAGGCCAACTGTACGGTGGATAAATGCATGTACAAAACATAAGCCATTCCCAAATTTTGTGAAACTGATTAGAATTGAATGATTTATAACGATAATTCCTTCTGCATATTGCATGATAGGATTGATTAACTATTATTAGTGCATAATTTGTTAGCATCAATGAAAATTGCCCTACTGAGATGAAAACACCAATTATCTCTCATATATACTGTGCACATGAATAAATATGTTCAGGTCGAATAATGCTCATTCGTAGCACTTTTACTGTACACTGTATTTGGGATAGTTTCTGAAGAAACTAATTTCATCAAACACCCAATGTGCCATGGAACTTTTTTTGGCTGTACAACCTTACCATAATATACTAAAATGCTTTTCATTAACCCCCCCCCACACACACACTCCATGCGTATTTGTCTACAATAAAACAAGGCAAATGTCCCGATGTTTTAATTTGTATCTACTTTCATACAAGCGTGGGTACAAAAATTGCTAAATGTCGGTTATTCCAAATGCATTGGCCACTCCGTCCTTCTTTAAACCGGCAGTGGACAGCAAACACCATGGCATTACTTTCGGAACCCCACAACAACCAGATTGCTTCAAAACTATTTATTACTCAAACCCCGGCTGAGCGATTACTCAGACTCAGCGTATATTTGGTACCCATTAGTCAAGGACACATTATTGCTGCATCATTGACGTTTTCTAGGTTGTATAATATTAACTTGGTTGTATAAGGTTAACTATTAACTATATATATATATATATATATATATATATATATATATATATACATCGAATGAGTAACTTCTGACGAAATACACCCCCAAACGCGTACTTCACACCGCTGTGGTTACATGCATGGTTCAATAAAATCTATTCCAAGTCGAAGGCCATGCGATTAAGTGCCGTTTAAGTGGCACTTAACCACACAGTGATAGAAAACATCACGAAATCATCTCCCTGACCCACGCTAAAGACATTTAACGGCAAGTACACGCTTTCTGTGAAAGCGCAATGAACAAACGCCAAAATTTGGGCGTGGCCTTTACAGAACAAATCTTGCATCGGCAATTGATAGGATTGCCTGTATGCTTCTAATATTACATTGACAAGACTATTATTATTGTTATTTTCCATCCACTTATTTTAATAGATTAATTGCAGGACTCAGTCAGTCACAAGTCGGGTTGTCCAAATAGATATGAAAAGTAAATGCACTCGCATTGAAAACATTGTTCGGTGAGTATCCGGCGTTACTTGGTCAGCAAACAAGAAAAAAACGGGTATCTGTACTGGTAACACTGCAGATTTAGTCATTGTCTTCGTCAGGTACGGCTATACGTTAATGCTCTAGAGGGAAAAGTCCGATCGCCTACTCGGAATTCCAATGTTTTAAAATCGAGTATTCTCTATTGAATTTAAGGACAGTAAATCATTGCTCTAGATCTTTTCTACAGGATGATCTAGACAATGGATTCGCGTCTATAACTATCCAACGGTCGTGTGAGACTGTGCGTGTCCTCAAACACGAAGTGCTGGTATCGATTTCGCTCTTGCCCCTGTAATGCAGGAGAACTCCAACGCACTGGTTTTAATTGACAACTTGTAGTTAAACAATAACAGTGCACTTTTGAAGTAAAAACCTACAAGGCACCATCACCCCCACCTAGAATCCGTTCAATTTGAAAAAGAAATTGATTTTTAGATTCCTACAATGGCATGGAATAACAGACAATGGTGTGAGTATATGGTTTGACTTTTGTCCCATTGTGTTAAATAACATGGTTTCTGCGTCCTCTCTGAGAGTGGTACCTTTAAAAGAATAATGCTAACTCGATGTAATTGTGCTCCGCCTTAAGTGAGAGTAAACTGAGTTTAACTCTATGAAGATTCTAGAATTAGATGACTCAATGAAAAGGTGAATTCCGCTGTAGGAAATTGAGTATGTATTTGTACTGAGAAATCAATCAATTACCCCAAGTCAAGGGTGTTGCACCCAATTAGTGACATACCACCAGAAACTGTGAAGAGATACAAATGATGCTTTATCTTATTCCTGTTTCCTTGTGAGGCTGCTTTGTTAAGGATTAAGCATTCCCACAGTCCCAGAACAACTAGAATCTCGAAACATTGCCGTACAGGTCACCAGTAAGGTAAGATTAGCGTCTTCCTAGCAGCTCTAGTTATTACAGATAGAGCGAAATGGCACTTCCGTTGAAAACGAAAATGAATCGAAACTAATGGTTTTGTTATCTCTTATTAAGTTTATCACTCTGGGCAAACAATGGAAGACAAGACAGTAGCTTGATATAACTGAGAGCTATACTTCTCAAAAAAAGAAGAAAAAAAACTTGAAAATTCGTCGCTGATTTTTTTCTAGTTTAAGTTACACAAAGGGCCTAAACACTGGTGAAAATAAGTAATTGTCCCTTAAAAAGCAGAAATAAATTTTGTATGGCAATTAAACATCCATGTAAATCCAATAGCTTATCATCTCCAAAATGCTATAGAAACTGGAAATATTTGCTATATATAAATGTCATATCATCCTTCACTTTCTCCGAAGCGATCTCACAAGGTTTATAGGGAATATATCTTTCAAGGGAATATGTACAATAGTAGAATGCACCAGGAGTACTGAACTGTGATTGTGTTAGCTGTGACTTCTGAAATGTGTTAGATATACGGTTAAATATGGACAAAACTTAATGACAGAAGCAAGTATGCATACATGTACGAAAAACCCAATGTCAAGTTGTTTAACATTTTGATAATTTATTAAGCTGTATCAAAAGTTATTTTAAAGATACATAAAACCCCTACAAATATTGTAACAAATATAATACTAATGCATATCACATAAGCATATTCTTAAGAAAAAACGTATAGTTCTTATATTATTCACTGACATTTTCAATTCTTGTAATGCCATTTTTATCAAAGTACTTGGCGCAGACTTGCCGTTTCGAGGAATGTCGAGCTCGGAACGTTCCCCCAAAATATGTATTTCACCTAAATCTCCTTATACACGATGAATCTAAGAAGCACTCTGAGAAGCATATGTAACATTGAGTATTCCAATATTCTTCTATCTATTATGAAACTTATCAGACGTATGTCCAACAATTACCATGTGAAGTGAACTTAAATGCTCTCGCACACGACATCGTTTACTTATTGGTTTACTATCTCACTCTATTTTACAATCTCAGGTTTTTTCTGAGCATCTTATATTTTTTGAGTTTGCACAGGTCAAATCAATACTCATGATAGCAAAGCATGCTTATGATATTAATACAACTATAAATGATACAAAACGCCGACAGAACCATGAAATAATCGACATTCAGGCTACTGAATATTTTGCTCGCACAGTGGTGACAAGACAGTAACGCCTCTGCGACATTTGTTTGGAGACAATACAATATTAATACATATACTTGTATATGAAGCGACAACAATGTAAAAAGAATACAATTAGATTAAGAACAACAGATGCATCCATCAGATATTCATAAAGGAATATTGTATATGCAAATATTGTATCATTAAGTCAATACTGGCTGATTGCAACAACCGACTCAATGGGGCAGGTATTGTTTGTATACCTGGTTTATATAATACACTTGAAGGGTAAATGGAATAGCAACGTATACTATCATAAATATGAAAATNCGTATACTATCATGTAATGAAGGAGGCAGGAGGCTTGGCAGAGAGGAATGCGTCCACCCCTTAGCTTCTCTAAATGTGTTCAAATGCCGAACAAGCGAGGCAAAATGATAAAAAACATAAATAAATAAACAAATAAATAAATTACATGCACATCTATGCCCCACCTCTCACCGGCAAAATACGAGTACTGGTACCTGTTAATTTCATGGGAACATATTCGTTACCATTGAGCTTAAATTGTTGGTAGATACTGTAGCAAATAAAAGTCACATTTTTTAGGTGGCGCTAAAGTTGATATACTGAGACTGCAGAGCCATTCCTCAGTAATAATGTATTTAAAAGAGTAAAAACAAAAGAAAGAAGGAAATCATTCTAGCCGTTCAACATAGCTTTTCAGGAGCTACAGAGGTTGATAAATATACATTGTGAAAAGACCTTATTGAATTGAAGATACAGTGGAGTGCCACTAAAAGTATAAGTATATAGTACGTGTAGAAAGGTGTGTTTCCTAAACTCCTACTTCATACCGCAAACGCATACACTGATCTGAATGAATTTATGATCTATTCATGATGTGCTTTCATCTAGTATTTGGTTCGTAGTATTTTCACTTGGTATTTCGGTGACTGGCTGATCTTGTTCATCCCCGCTTGATGTTTCTTCCGTTTCCACATCTGTTTGATTTGCTTTTGTCACGATGAGTGGCGTTGTAGTCGTGCTCACTATATCATCTGTCTTGGTCTTTTCGTTTTTATTGTCAATAGGTATGATCGTTGTAGTCTTTGATTCGTTAGTCACTGGTTGGTTAGTAGTTTGTATTTGATCTCCAGCTAAACGGCTGTAATTTGGTTTGATCGTCGACGGCGCAGTGTTTGATTGACTGGCATTCGATTGTTTGGTGTTCTGGGCATGTAGCAGAGCGTGCTCTTCTTGGAACGGATCCTAAAGCAAAATATGTGCAGTTAGTTGAAATATGGATCATACTTTATTGTCAAAAGAAATAAAAAGTTGAGAGAGAAAAGGAGAGAGAGAGAGAGAGAGAGAAAGAGAGAGAGAGAAGGAGGGAGCAGGATGTCACGTCGTGTGAAATGAGCAATGGTTTGAATTCAAGACGTACCATGATGTTCTATGAGAATATACAACCTAACCTACTCATTTTGAACCCTTTCCTTTTATGCAGCTGTAAAACAAAACTCGAAGGATGCACTTAAATAGGAATGTGACCTTTAAGGTATGTTATGTAAATGTAAAGCTATATATTTGGTGCACAATTTACTTGGCGCTTCTCCCATTCACTGTACCATAGCCAGTAACAACCCATCCATCACTTTGTCAAACGATGCTGCTTTTAGATTTAATTACAGGATGATTTGAATCATTAATTTCAAGAGCAAACAATCTGGAAATATTGTGGGAAGCAATGAAATAGTGCCTTTGACTGACTGAACAATTGTTGGCAAAAGGCCTACATGTTCCTCTATGTGATATACTAGTAAAGAGTTACCAGTTTTGGCACTTCTTCACAGAAGCTGTTGATGACGCAATAACTTTGTACAGATTTGGACGAAATAAAACATATTGAATAAAGATTCAATAGCTGACGTACGTACCTTTGCATCGAGTCAATTCATTAAAGACTGGCATTTTACCGTTTTCAGTTTGATCATGTACTGTATTATTACAACCTCTATTTACCTTACGAAATTTTGCATACAGTATGCCTATAACTGAGACAGCTGCCAAACAGCTAAGGTGGGTGCGTTATTCAATAATTCGTCATAGGCGTGGAACAAAGTTTGGCAATAAAGAGGCAGCAGACGACAGGCACAACACACTCATAAACCGGTTCTGAAAGCCAACGCCTAAACGTCAACGTCAAGAACTGATGCTTAAAAGAATGGCTTGTCAACATCAAAAATGTTCATGTTTGGCGTATGTGAATATGTGTAAGTGCCCGTGTGTGCTTTTTTTTCACAATATAAACATATAATATGGATTATCGTCGTTCAAAACGGCAGCACGCACAGCATCGCTGTCCTTAAAACCTTGAATATCTAAAAATTATAGTCATTAACAAGCGCCAGTATTCTGTTTCATGAATGCTGGTGCAGGAGATGATAAATACATCAACAGGTAGTCATCTGCTAGTATAAATCGTCCTTGACTTTGGTGTCAAACCACTCACTTGTGTTATAAAAACAGGGAACTATTAAATACAGCGTGATTACGAAGGTTGCAAATTGCCGTGGGATTAAGACTTTGACATAATACTAGTAGCTGTTCGTATTCCTATCACACATTCCACAAGCCGTAAAAATGTTCCTTAAGGCTCTTACACGGGAATCTGATGCTCCACAATTTAGTTCTCCTTTCACTTGTTTCACAATATTCTGGAAATTTTGTTCATTTATCTGAAAGTTGGCAAATAAATCGGTTGGTTGGCTTTTGATAGCATACAAAGCGTAGCGCTTATTTTGGCGATGCTATCATGTAATTTGTGAAGATTTGTCAGTATTACGACTCAATAAGTGGTTCAAGTGTTAGTGTATGGAAGAGCTTACTTCTTGCCAATTAATTAACTCGATACACTTCTGATCTATCTTCGCATTTCCGGGAAACTGTTAGCCTTCACGGTTCTGATTGCTGACGATTAATCACAACTTGTTGATTTCCTACGTGACACAGCGAGCAGAGACATTTAGAAGGTATTACTTATTGATACCAATTGGAAGATCAATATCCCTGTGTTTTACGCAGTCTGGTATGATTAAATCATTGCTTAAGCCTGTAAAGGTCAAATGCCTTCACCAACTTTGGCTTTTAAGCTTCTAAGTCTTAATCACACATGGCATAAGGTCAGATAGAGGCGTCGGCATTGATGTGTTGCTGATCTTGTCGTTTTTTTATCTATGCCAGGGTATATTTCTAATTTCAGTCTGCAAGTACGGATGACAATGCATTATGATTATAGTATGAAGTGCAGTGTTGATATATAGTTGGGGTGTCAGGAGGGTCCTGACCCCCCTTCGATTTCTGATAAAAAACACCACAAAAAACATCTAGCTGAATCATAGTTCTAAACCGTACCAAAAGGCGCCATTTCCCCTCCAAAACACTAATTTAAGACCCTAGAGCGTGCCCCGAACATGACGCCAAGGGGGTGAGGGCCGGACTCGCAATCCGAGGCATGTCAATCCCTCAAAAACCGGACCCCCCTTCAAAAAATTCTGGATCCGCCCCAGATATGTGAAAGTTATTGGTGTTGTGGCAGAACATACAAGCCTTGAAACAGACTTACGCGGTAGATGAGTATAAGAAGGATACCGCGTATATTGTTCATGTGTGCGTTTTTTGTTAAGAAGTGAAGCGATGATAAAAGATCCTATTCTTCATTAAAGTGTTTCATTATCAGATTAGGGAAGACTTCAATACACATGTAACATCCAACAGAACAAACGTTCTTGAACTCATTGTGTTTACGGGCTTTATTTGAGATTTTGTAGTTCTTGCTGTACTAAACTATTTTTCCAAAGACTTAACAAAATTCACCGATTTTACCGTATATCATCAGTTTTTGAATATATTCAGGAATGTATATATATATAAAGAATATGTTTACAAGTACATAATGATATTGTGTTACATGTTTACGGTCAAATCTATACTGTTTTATATGGCATTATCAATCATAATTTAATCTGCACCAACTGCATTTGTTAAAACGTGTCAAATATTTTGTTAGTGATATTGTTCTTATTATATGCTAGCGCGTTATTTGTATGTAAGTCATCTATTACGGGCAGCTGTGACCTTAAGGCTCCGTATAAGTACTTGTACATTTTTTTCATTTGACGTCTTCTTGGCAAGAAAATGACCCTAGCTTGCAGTCAGCATATCATTATGTTTTATTATACAGTCTCTTCGAATATTGGTATAGATAAATTAGTTTTTTTAAGTCTTTATGTTTTCTTATGAAGGGTATATATATATATATATATATATATATATATATATATATATATATATATATATATATATATATATAATGCTGTTCAAACAGACCACTGTGTTTTTATGACTTTGTGGGATCATAAAAAAGGCAATGTGCGTTAAGAGTAGATCTTTGTAAAAATACTACGATTGAAAATCAAAAAATAAAAAGTTCACTTTCAAATGTACTGTTACCATAATCTTATGAACATCCTTTCCTTCAGGTTAAAAAAATAGGATTTTAGGGAAGTTTTTGATTAATTTTTATAGGTGACTGCTAGTCTGGCGCATATGGCAATGATCTCAAATTTGCCAAAATACCAGTATGATATAGACAGACGACATTATGGATGTATATTTCATCTACACGCAGCATCGTACAAAGTCTAAACATTTATCTGTTACCATTTGGCGTTGTCTTTTACTTCGAGTCTAGCCGTTAGCTGACTACTAAAAGTGGAGTTTATGATCAAATTGCGTTTTGATGGAAGGGGAATCGAGTGTATTTTACATTTTTTCTATCATTTATCGATTTGTCAGGATGCTACCTTTGCTAGACCCGTTAATGAGCTTATGATGAAAAATGCTATCCTTATCCATGTTAAAGCATCGTGTGAATGCTTAGTCAAATAGCGCTTCATGTACAGCAACTACGTGCCCCGGGGTGTCAAGAAAGATTCGATATAATAAGGCAGTGACAAGCCCGATGTGTCGTGCAACTGTATGCAAAGAGGGAATGATCAACTTTTCGCTGTTCAACATCTTGCTGTTGCGATAATTGAATGAAAGACTATCCATGTAATCGAATGAGTCCCTCAAATATAAGATTATCTGTGTCAAGTAACATATGAAGTTAATTATATACTTCCTAAATTAACCCCATCAAAGACTTGCACTGAGAGGAATCATGTAACTAAGATGGTGTCAGAACAAAGCAAAAATTCCCTGTTAGATATGTACGTACGTAAGGTAATGACAAAACAATTACCATTGTCAATTTATAACATATATGGCAGCTTTACATCCACCAAGGATGTCATGTTATTAGTAATGTTTTAATAAGCGCATGTATATAAAGACAATGGCAGAGTAGAAAAAAGGGTAAGAGCAGGTGTGAAATGAAATTCAGATTACTGCTTTAGAATATTAGCTATTCTGCATTTTAGTGTATGTAAGCCTATATATATATATATATATATATATATATATATATATATATATATATATAAGATATTGTTTAATAAATGTTGATGCAAGAACTCGTTGATTAACATGATGTAGTTTAACATGCATATGACATACAGTATGTGGCAATAAAAATGTTTCTCTGCAAAACAATATGAAACAAAATAAGCAGTGAATAATGATAAGAGTTGGTGATCAAGCAAGGATATTAACATGACCTTGGAGGTATGCATAATATATTTAAGCATGATAAGATTTATTAATCAATCTGCAATTACGTGTAATAAGATACTACTTACCTCGACATTACAAGTACAGTGGCATCCAGCTCGTAATTGCCACGTGCTGACAATAATCATGATAAGCCCCACAACTAAAGTTATACCGCCCAGAATACAGAACAGGACTTCTTTTTTCGTGAACAACTCAGACATATCTTGTGAATCGGAATCCGCATAAGAGGAGTCAGCTTTGGTCTTTTTCTTGGCTCGTCTCTGCTGCGAGGCCGTGCTGGTCTCAGCGCCGTTTTCTGCCGTGACATCGTTCTGATGTTTGTCACTGCCGACGAGCAAGGCTTCTGCTGCCGCGGCTTCTTCTCCAGCTTCGCCCGTTTCTTCTAAGGGCTCCATTGGGATTTCGGTGTCATATTTATTGTCCGACATCATCATGTTCTTCTAGTAGCACCTAACACACACACACAGAGATCAAAATGATGAATAGCTGCGACACAAAGCGTTGCGACTCCGTTAAAATGCCCTCTGTATTTCCGCTTACCTGTATGCATAACACAGAGAACAAAAAAACACGGTTGCCCGCAGTTTTAGCTCACGTGTTAGCAATTCTCAGGAAAGGGAATTTAATGACGTCAAATTATTCATGATACCATATTATTAACCCGTACTGAAATGCGGAGAGATATAGAGGCTGTCTGCCTTGCCATGGCTCTTACGATCATTTTCTATTGGCAATTAGGAATTAAGGTTTTGCATTATTCAACCTTACGACCTAATTGTGGGATCGATGGAACTAATATCTTCCCCTTGGAATGTGTTTTACGTTCTTTACTGAAGCATCGTCTGACCACGAGCCATTATACATGTCATGTCCAAATGCGATATCCACAAATAATCAATAATCTTTCTTCTCCCCCCCCACCTCCCAAAAAAAAAAAAAAAAAAAAAAAAAAAAAAAAATCCACACGCTCTTTTCCTTCGGATCTATACATGTATATCTGCGGTTTTTACACACTCACACTCACAATTACAAACACGCATGTGACGATAAACAATTCTACAGTGGTCGCTGTAGTGAGACCCGCCTGGCATATTAAAGAAGCCCTCAAGAAAAGAAGGAAAATTAACTACAACGAAGACACTTATGAGGCAGATGGTCCATAAAACGTCGTCTCCTTACTATTCGATGACTCAGTATCATTTTAAGAGTAAACGTTAACCTTTCATCACATCGCAGCCACACACCTGACTTCAAATCTGCTTTATGCCATGAAATTCAGAAAATTAAACAGACGGTCCCTTCTTTTGTTATGGCACGTACAGGCAGTGACAAGGCGTTATCATGTTTTGTTAAATGAGGTTTGCTTTATTGCTTAGTTATGGCCTATGTAAAGATGGAAGAATATGCCAATATCGCGTTCAGCCGAACATGCCGCCAGGGATATGCAGTATATATGAGAACGGCTTGAAACTAAAGCTTACGACGCGCTGTGGTTGAGGGTATCCTATATGTTATTATCAAGATGGCTTTCCTAGTAGCCAAAATCACCTTATTATTAAATATACATGTATATTAGTCTACTGGACTACTGTACATCAACAAATATAAAAACAATAGCTCTCTATTACTAGTAAATTTATTGGAATACACTGAGCGCTTGATTTTTCACGTATATTTTTTTATCAAACAGGTAAAATGCGCCTTTTAGGTGGATAAAAGACGCCTAGACGACCCCACAGTGTAACATTCTTTTTATCACTGTGTAGCTTGATCTGAAATCGTAAGGACGAGAAACAGTTACATCATATTCTTTCAGATTAAGATTGAAGAGGTAAAGCTCGTCAACTTTCGTTATTTCTTAGCAATAAGACCTCGATTGGATTAGTTTATAACGGGGAAAATGACACCCAGGCATAAAATATCGTGCATGTATCTCAATTAAATGATGATGGATGCCTACAGAAACAGTGCAGGCTTATAATAAAAACAAAGAAGCATTAAGGAGCTTTAAATGTTATTTTATATTTAGATACAATGCATCATATTGCATTTTGGGGATAAACAAGTGGTGGCCAGGAAAAGCTGTTAAGCACATTTCCTTTGTAGCTACATGAAGCTTCTCAAGAAGGCAATTTTAACCCGCTTTGACATTTCGCAAATACCAGTAGCTCTGTCATGAACAAGGACAATTTTTTCATACAACAGTAATGTGCTTGCTTATGTACGTATGTTTTGCATGTACTGCCGCGGGCGCTGAAGCCATCAGCATGTTGAACACCGTATATTCAAGGACAATCTTCAAATCTAAGTAGCCATACATTTTCAAATACATCATAAAACAGGTAACTCGCTAATGGATATTTCTACATTTACCTTTAACTTTCCTTAGTGTTGACGAAAATTGCTGAAATTGTCAAGGAAAATTAATGTCATAAACATTTACAGGTATCTCACCTACATTGAGTCTTCATTACTTTCTTCTTTGTCTGCATACATGGTAGCCTCTGTATCAGGATTCAACTGCTTGTACTTGAGAATGAACTCAGTTCTTTAGAGTACTCAATTTGAACTCAGGTTTTACCAGTATATTTTATTATTAAACACTGGTCAACTAAAAAAAAAGAAATGAATAAAAGGTTGTACAATAAAAATGCAAATATAGCCCTATATTACAAACAAAAAATTGTCTGGTAATGTAGAAACAGAAATACACTTACGTAAGTGTTGGGTCATATAGGTTACAATATTCTGGTAAAGCCACACCACAGGTCTGGACACTTCAGACACTTGAGACTGAGAGCGAGTATATTGAATGTAAGTGTTACACATGACTGCTTGAGATAATGTACTAGTAGCCCGAGCAGTGCTCAGTCCAGCCATGAATATTCACGACTGGCACCCACCAAAAACAAAATTATAATTTTATCCAATAACAGCCCCTCTGTCTTATTTTAGGCGTTATGGGCACCCAGCAGGTTTATTAAGAGTCAAGACGATTTGACAGATCTTAAAGCACCACATCATTAATGATATCTCTGTAGATCACGCTCAGTCAATAGGCATTGGTAGGAATGATTGATCCAATGCATACAGGTTTTTAAATACTCATACAAGTACACTCTAAAATACCCGGTGAGGTCGACTAATTTTAAGTCAGTTTTAGGAGATACCAGAACTTTCTCTGTGGACCAGTCCCCAGTCTCCAACTAGTACATGTACCCTCTTCTTTTGGGTGGACCTTTTGGTATTATTCCCTTGTAAAAGTCAGATAGCATTAAAGACATCGCATTTAATAAAATGAGAATGATAATGTTCAACATGACCTCTGTTCTATGGTTTATACACCATTTATGTAATAACAACCAGTAATCAAGCACTCATATGTTTACAACTCACCACGTTAAAGCGAAATAATGAATTATCTAATTAATTATTATAGCCGAAGGTAAAACAAGAAATTACCTGTCGTGTCTGGCAGTTCAAGACATTTAATACATATTTTGAAGTGGAATTGCCAACCTGCTTTTTACTGAAACTCACGCATTAAATTGTGAACCAAGCATAAAGCTGCCAACTTTAATTGTCGAACTAACATCTAATTTAAAAAAACTGACTGTCGAAATAGTCCAGATAACGTGTTCTCACTGTCACCACTTCGTGGGCATCAGTACACAGTTGAAGACCTGTGGTATCTCGTGAACGGTAACCTAGATCAAGTTTATAATGCAGAAAATTGGCTATAAGGAAAGTCAGTTAAATTGTGTAACATAAGACGATGAATATTTCGAAGAGCTCGCTGAGAAAGATGTTGGATGAGCTTCATATGAAATTTGAGTTATGTCATTTACTCATTTGTCTTTCTATATATTTTATTTTTCTCCAGTTCACTGAAAATATTTTCCATTCGTTTTTTTTCTTTTGATAAATCAATATAAACGAAATTGAATAGTATCGCCCTATACTTCATTACGCAGACTAGATAAACCTTCGAGTTAAGTGTTCAGTCTTACAACATTAACCTTCTTCTCTATGCTTTATGCCAATAACCATAAGAGAATTAACCTTATCAGGGGCAGGCAATGGAGATGAATATATCGATCATTGTAAAAACAAGTCTCTAACGTACTAAAATACTATACTGGTAGATTATAACCTACAGATACTTGAGACTGGGTACAGATACTTGGGACTGGTCCTAATAAAAATAAAGAGAGGAGAAAATATATCATGTCATATTTTAATGTATCCTTATATAAGTAAGTGTGAACTATAGTACGTCTTTTTAAAGCACCAGTATAGCTTTACTCTTAACCAAACTATCAAGGATCCATAATTCGCAATAGCAAAATCGATACTGCGTCTTACAATGAAATTGCACAATTTTCACAAATGCACGTAATACTCTTGACATTTCTGCTACATGTAGCAACGTGCACAGTAGTACAAGACACGTGCACAGCCACGTGGGGTAGATTTACTTGATTATTAGCTATGGGGAACTGAAAATCTTCGGAACAAGTAGGGGAAATTCCCGATTAAACACGGGGATATTTTTTAAATATGTTTACCAACAACTGTCCAATAGAGCCTTCACTATTTGTAAGGTTCACACACTAGTATACTAATACCATCACACACTGACTTGTAAACATGTTATAGAAACATTGGATTAATAGGGCCGACGGGAATTTTCAAGCAATACATGCACTGGGTCACCTAGTTTATAACTAGATCTGCCGTCTTACTTAAAGGACCCACCTGGTCATTTTCTCAAGGAAACGTGCGTTATGCCAGACCTAGCATCACGCCGGGTCATGCATCAAATGCTGTGCCTACACCCATACACCCTGCTTATCAGGTAACTCTTCTTGTCCCGTAAATCTGATGGAATAGAACTATTGTAATTTTCGTTTTTCAAACAAAAAATTGGACAATTTTAGACAGATACCGAGGACACATTCATAACGGAGGTCGTTTTCTAATTTAGACACAAAAGTTATACCAGAAACGTATAAATCAATTATCAATATGCTAAGGCACGTCGCAATGTCACAACACCATGTTAAGACTTATCGGGTGCCTCTCTTTTAACAAGCCCTCAGCAGATCACGTTATCGTCACTTGTGTGCGCTTGCTTTCAAGAGACGATCAGGCCACGTTTAACCATGCGATGGACATTTATGTTTGTTTTTGGCCTTTGGACTTTGGTCCATGAGCCATCCGTCGTTCATACAAAGGTCTATCAAGTCCGACGCCACAGTAAGTAACGCATTTTACACTGTATAAACATCACACGATTATGAGTATGAGTAAGCGATCAGATTTGAACTAAGACGCCAAAAGAATTAAGCAATTAGATTTGCGTTTTTTAATGAGAGATGACTGGTCAATTCAACAAGTTAGTGTTTGTTTTTTAGCGTGAAAATCATTTCAAAACCACGTAATACGTACATCTAATACATATATCTGCATCTTGTCCTCTAGCTGAAAGAACTATAAATTACATCAACAAATGGTTCTTATATGTCTGAGTGCGCATCAGTACAGTATCGAATATAAGTGGAAATGGGCGGATAAAATCTGATACAACCAAATGTCAACGGAACGCAATTTACTACTACAAAACGCACACGCAGTCGTAATAAAATGTCAGATGATATTTTTTATTTCATTTATCCTTCTTTTAACATATTGTGTATTCTATTTTTAAACAAGACCAAATAGATTAGATTCAGAGAACAAAAAAAAAAATAAAATAAAATAAAGCTGCCAAGGTATCACTAGGCATCGGTTAGCTCTTATGTCGAACGAGATATCTTAAAACACGATTCCTTCTATTTCAGCTATCGTGAAACGCCGCGTAGCGTGCTATGGCGTTCTGGGATGCTTCAGCACTGAAGGGCCTTTCCGAAATATTCCATATCGACCGCTTAACCTACTTCCGGCCACGCGCAAGAGTATTGGAACTAAATTTTCCCTTTTCACGCACCGAAGTAAAATACACGCTGATAGCCTCGTGGCCGATGATGCCTCTACTGTTTCAAAATCACTCTTTAGTGCTGCTAAAGAAACCAAAATGATTGTCCATGGCTTCATTGAAACGGGGAAAGAGAAATGGCTACATGTATGTATCTAAATGTATATGTATCAGACGAAAATGAATTTACTACTATTAACTACTTTGTGTTTGGTGAAAAAGAGTTTTTGATACCCGATTTTAACCACTGATTGAAGACTAATTTGTCAACTTTCAAAAAGCATCTTTTATTAGTTATTTCAGACCAGAAAATTTACCATCTAATGAAAATTAACTAGCTTCACTAAATAACCAGGCCAGTTCGATTTTTGCGATCAATATTAGGGTAATGGGTCTCAAAGTTATCAAATTATGCCCCTTTCAGGATATGAAAGACAAGCTGCTACTGGCTGGCGATTATAACGTGATAATCATTGACTGGGGTGGCGGTTCCTTCCTCCCTTACACACAGGCCACTGGTAACACACGTTTAGTTGGAGCCGAGACCGCCTTGTTGATTCAAACAATATGCGTAAGTTTTTGTGTTATACACTTGTTAGCGTCGTGATAATTATAATAACGCAGCGCGCTGTTAATTAGGAGCTGTTAATGAGCTGTTAATGAAATGCACCTGGCACGGTGTGAGACATTTATTTCATTAAGCAGCAGCCTTTCTTGAAGAAAACTGCCACGACTTCTTAAAAATGTGTGGTTTTTATAACCTATGTGTTAATGATGATGATGATTCCGTCCAATTTGTTGTTGTCGTTGTGTTAAGTACTGGTAGTGTGCCACAGCATATACCAACCAACACAGCCCATGGTCTGTCTCCTCTGTGAATCTCCAGTGCATTGTACTACCGGTAGTACAGAGCATGTTATTATTTTTTTTAATTTTACGACATCAACCTCATGATTTTAATTAAAAAACACTTTTTAGGTGCTATATCTTGGTGTAAAGCATTATCGTTTTCACAAAAGCATGCCACCATGTTTCATTTTCAGTTTCGAACATTTTTGACCGTCTATATTTTCAGAATGTTACTGGCGCCCGCCCGGAATCTTTTCATATCATAGGACATAGCCTTGGAGCCCATTTAGCGGGATATGCCGGAGAAAGACTCAAGTCTCTGGGGAGAATTACAGGTTATTATTCAGCCAGTTTGCTGGGAGAGATAATGTTACTTTCATTTCATTGATCGCATTGTATGTAATAACGTGAGGTTATATCACAATACAATATACACGCGAACCACGGTTGCATTTACACCGATTTTTTGAAAGGCAAATTCCCCCTCAATATCCTATAAGCAAAGTGCAATAACAAATATGTAGGAATTACACGTTGTTTCGAAGTGTATTTTAATAATTTAATTGAAATTACCACCACCTGTTTCAGGCATGGATCCGGCAGATCCGTATTTCTCCTACACGGATAAGGTAGTTCGTCTTGACCCAACGGATGCCAAGTTGGTGGACGTTATTCACACTGATGCTGACCATATCTTGTCCACTCTGAAAGCCAGTGGAGGTGATAACATATTTCAATATATGACAGCCGTTTTACTTTTGAATGCCGTTCTATTTATTACTAGAAGTCGCGTCGAAGTACTATAAATGACTACTTCATAATAACAACGCATGATGGATGTACTTTCAAAGAAAACGATTCACCAGAATTACGCTTTGTAGATGTGTATGGACTCGCTAGTACGCAATATTCAGCGACATAATGTGGCGGAACACTGGTCATTTCCACTATCTGAATGAATCATTTAAATTAAATTTTGTTTCTCAATGGTTTAACTCTTACTAATGTCTGAGAAACATCAGAATATTTTGCGCAATATTGAAGTTTTATATGGTTTTACATTTTTTAGGTTTTGGGATTGAACAGCCAGTCGGTCATTTGGACTTTTATCCAAATGGCGGAAGCCAGCAGCCCGGTTGTGAGCATACTCTGAGCATGATGTCGGAAGTGTTCACAGCCGGTTTGTATAATGGTAAGTTTTAACGTTAAGAACTATAAATCAGGACATTTTCACAACATTTTCACAAGCTATAACTAGATGCTGAATTCCATAATCTAGCATCATTATTTTAACAGTTACGATTGCATACTATTGCTGTAAAATAAGTTTTTGTTGCCTATATATTGTTTGGTTTTGAAGCAATAACCTTTTCACTGTTAGTTTTATCCATTGACGTATTAAAATAAGTTATCAATTTCCGAAAGTAGAATTAGACGTAGTATTCGGTGCGTTTTCCGATAGACCAAATATACAAAAGCATTCAAAATATGGCAGAAATTTTCAATAAAAGTTCTGAAAATATCATCCGGGGTCCTCGAATCTGCTTCCTGCTCAATTCATCACAAAAATGGCTTATGTTTCCAATCTTGACTTTTCAATTAGAATGAACATGTAAACTAGTTGGCGTGTCTTGCAGTTCAATTTTGAAATGTGCGTGTTCTTGTCACCTTTTATCAGAACCCACAATAGGGGTGTACACTCATGAACAATATCTGTGCCCACTCTTTGTCCGTTGACCTTTATTGAAATGCTTGGTAGTAGGAACTGTAATTATAGGATATCCCCAGTGGAAACTCATGCTCATACGACTGGTAACGAAAGATAAAACAGCGGTTGGCGGCTAGCTAAACCTCTGTGTTATGAGGTTTAGGGTTATAACAAATATACTGTAATAACATAGTCTACAGATATCCTACTACATATAAGTTGGTATATAACTAAGATTTAGGTAATATTTCTTATTTCATTTATTTCTAGGAGGGAAGAAATTCTTTGTCTGCGATCACACCCGCGCCCATGAGCTGTTTACAGACTCAGTTACGTCCACCTGTCCGTTCATTGGTTTCAAATGTAATAGCTACGATGAATACAAGGCAAGTAAAAATGAGATATTTTCAAGTTAATTAAACAGCGGGCATTTTTATTTTGAAATGTGAAGTTCGATGTTTTTTTTTTTTTTTTGTAATTTTTTTTCTTGTTTTTTATATCCACCCGGTATTCTATGAAAGTGGTCTAAAATACAAAAAAATTAGTATAATAAATAAAAAAATAAATAAAATAAAATAAAATAAAAATAAGTAAATAAATAAAAGCAACATCTTTACTTTTTGTATAGATCGTTAAGATTATTTTCAACAAGTCATGTACCTGTCTTAATAACTTTATAAGACAAAAATCATTTTCCGTGTATGCAATGTATAGGCGTCTTTTTTTATTCCTTTTCCGTTTTCAGAGTGGAAAATGCTCTAGTTGCGGAAAATGGGGCTGTCCTCAAATGGGACTCAATGCAGATAAATTCCCACTGGCGCAGTTAACGGGAATAAATAATAAGTTTTATTTAGATACGAACGGAGCAAGTCCATTCTGTAGTAAGTGCGTTTATAAGATCAAATAAATGTATTCTGGTATTAACTCAAGCTCATACATGTATACTGATTTTGGTTTCGCTGTAGTTTAAAGCATTTGCATTCGTTACTTGGTGGCATAACTTTCGTGCAGAAAAAGTTAATTCTCTAAAATTTCATTGAAATCTTTAATGGGAACATACGTTCATCTTGTATCTTTTTACTTATCTATTTATATTTTCGTCATATTAACTATCAATACATATAGTAAAATAAACAATATCTGTTTATTTATCAATCAACACGTCATATCCCATTGTCATTTATTAAATCCAGCCAATTTAAACAAACGTTACTAATATTTTTGCAGGTTATCATTATGAGGTCAAGGTTCAAGTGAGTCAAAATATGGGAGCTGCTTCTGAGAGAGGAACGATTTCACTTGTCCTCACAGGCACCAAGGGGACGTCGGAAAAAATTCCTTTAACGGAATCGTACGTTTTTTTATTTCAGTTTAGGCCCCATTCAGAATAGGGGACTAACTAGTCCGAGGGTCAAATATGGCGACCCACTACAAAGCTTGCCGTCTAATCCGCTAATATAGACACTGAATATATATCCTGTGGGGAAGTATTCAAGTGGGCCGGCCATATTTGACCCTCAGATTAGGTAGTCCACTGTTCTCACTTTTGCCTGCATTGTTTTAGCAGAATAATATTAAGGAATAATCGAGCACGCGCGCTGGTGAGCCGGTGTCGTAAATTAAAAGGGTATTGCGATAAAGGATAAGACGTAACAAAAAACTTTAGGAAATTTTTAAACATAATCTATATTAAGATACAACGTATAATGAAGGTTGTCAGGGTATTTTTCTCACAAGTGGCTGGATTTTTGGTTATAATTTGCTAACATTTACGTGGCTTCGCTGCAGCATAATTTTTTTTCATTTTAAACAAGAAATGTCGACATCAGTCCCGGGGACGTTCTTGTGTCTAAGTATTCCACTAGTCGAGATATCGGCACGCTTCAAAGTATTGCGGTTAGCTGGGTACACAGTGCCAATCTACTCAAACCGTGGGAGTGGAATCTGTTTGGAATGCGAAATCCAAAGATATCTGTCTGGCAAATTGAAGTGTTCGCTCCAGCTATGAATCAAAGGTAATTCCTTATTCTATGACTTTTGTTTTTTAAGCTGAAAAAGCTCTGTTTTTTCTAAACGGTAATGTGCGTGAGTTAGTTATATATCCATAAGCAATTTGTCTGAGGTATTTGATTGATATTATCACGAAAATGTTCCATTGACTGTTTTTTTTCTGCTTACATTGTCTTCAAAATCTATACTATGAAACCATAAAATAGTTACAATGCATGGTGTAGCCTAAATGTTTCCAAACACTCACTGCAAGGAAATGATAAAATACTTTGTTGTAAGCATAAAATTCATGATCCTTTTCTTTTGTATTATTTAGATACAGCTTTTGCTCGAAAGGCGAATTCCTTGAAAACAATTCACCAAAAACCTACAACGTTGCTTCGAGATCGTGCAGTGCGCAGTCCAACATCGTCATAGGATAATAAAGGGTCTTTAAAAACACGCCGTTTGGACATTGTTTTAATAAGTATGCACATCTTTCGATTCTGAATTGGAGCAATGCAGCAGCTATAACCCAGTTGTTTTACCATGGCACAGTTTCCTTCTAAATTTCGCTGTCACATAACTAAAATAAATAGAATTACCACAATTCATTAAATTTGAAAACATCCTTTTTTAACGCGATCCCAACATCTGCGTTCGTGTATGTATGCTACACCGTAAAAAAATAATTATAATATAACAATACCTGCATTTTGTTTAGATCTTGGAACTAATTTCACTCTTATTAAAGTAACAAACACGGTGTATGCGTTTCATCTATATGCATAGTGGTTTATTGAACGTAAGTGAGCGAAGGTCCTGTTGTCTTCGATTTGTTACATGCTGTCAAGCCATACAAGAGAATTAAGCAAAAGATTTGACTCAGAGATACTAATGCCATAACAACAGTGTATAGAAACTGCCTACACCCATGTGGGCGTCTGTTTGATTCCTTTAGAATCTATTCAGTAACAGTACCAGTCTAGCTGAAGATATTGTACTTGCTCTATATTACACACTAAAGAGGACAAATATTTTGTTAGAGAGAGTGTCAATCAAACTGTCATTTCCAAGAGTCAAGTTAAATCAGATTTTTTCCACTTGTCCACGTCTCTTAATCGCAAAACGTCAGACAACGGGGTACAGTTTTTCAAAGCTTTACATTGGGTTATAACTATTGTTTTAAAAGGAATAAAAGAACACCACTTCAGAGCAGTCAAATTTAGATGGAATTTCGCTGATATTTGAAGATAGAACGTTACCAAATTTTGTCAAAATGTAAATGTAGTAAAGACTGAAGCTAGTTGCGTTTGTAAGTTATATGGTGTAACGGTCTTTCAAGAAATCTTTTCTTCCTTTTAAACAAATGAACAAGATTACATAGTAACTGCAGTTCAGTACATGCAGGAAAACGCTGAGACATTTCGTGTCTATGAAGCAGTCCCGGAGCAAAAGAGCGCGCCAGCTTGAAATACGCCTATTTCAATTTTGTCTTGTCCTGCCAAGCGAAAATAAGAACAAAATATACAGTAAGTATGAGTTCATTCCCAAACATTACGTGCCTAAAAGCAGAGGGGGTAAAGCCACATTTATGAATCACAAGCAGTATTATTCAAAGTATTTTACGGTGTACATGTAAGACAGAGCAAGCGTTTTGTAAACCAAGCTACTGAACATTTAATATCAGTTGTAGACGAAGTTCAGCAAAATAGCTGCCCATGTGAAGTGTAAATTAAATCTTGCGCTGTCATCGCCAATGACATTGTCCTCTAATTTTGAAAACGCAAAGAGGGACAGTTATTTTACCGATATTACACAGTTCATTTAAACCACACCAACAGGGATAAAACTGAAGATATGCAAATGCTACAATTGCTTTTGGATATATGAATTATAAGTAGTGACGAATAAATAATACTGTCTACAAGCCATAGTCGCATTGCTCCATAAGGAAACTATTGAAGCCAGGGAACAGTGCCGCTGCATATTACTGGTCCTAGTGTGCGTATTCCACGCCTATCGGGTCTATCTGATGAAACAAAAACAAATAACATCTATAAGCTTAAGCTGAGCATGAAATTAAAACAAGCGAATGGAAAAACATATCTGTAATCAGCGGAAAAAGAACTGCCACTACCAAGGGTATAAAAGACGTCTGGATACACCATCGTGCTCTCAACGCCACAACCTAAAATTTTACGGTGAGTGGATTGAAAAAATACTGAATGCGATAAGAGTCTGATTCAATGAAAGAGAATGAAGGGTGACGCTGAAATAAAGTCTGAGAGAAGCTAGTTCTGTACTGTATCTAACGCCTGTTAGAGTTTAACTAATTAGTATTGAGCTAATTAGCCGTTTAGTTATCGGTATCATAATCCTTTTCACTACAAACCAATGGTCCCAAATAGTGGTACCCTTCCTCCACGCCTTGTACACCTTAAATCAGGACAAAATTCAGGTTAAGATCAATCCTTTGTCATTCCGAAATAAAGCTACTTGTATTTAGCAATTCAAGCTAAATTTCATGCACTAGTGGATCATGCACTCAGTTGGCGGGGCCTACAAGACTATATAGGTAAATAGGAGATACGTTGAAAGGAACCGTGAGATTAGTGGAATAAAAAGCCTTGGGGAAACAATTCCAGCTCGACGCGAGAATGACATGCAGCGGTAGTAGCTTTGGCGCGCATTTTTTTTACAAGAATCAAACGCTCTACATGCAGAGAATCGAACGATCTACATGCGACTGCCATGCGTTTGTTAAACCCATATGTAATAATGTTTTCGAGAATTAAAGTATATAGCATACCACCACCACCCAAAACTTATAAAATGATAGTTAAGATATTGAAAGAAAAGTAGTTAAAAGAAATACCATTATGCTTATTTTCTACGCCCGAAAATAATTTTGCGCGTGCTTAAAAAAATAAGAAAAGGCTCGCTGCATTATTTGGGGTAAGTATATGACGGCGCTTTTCTAAGAACCTAGCAAGATACACTGATCTAGAGGTTGATCAGTTAAGTCAATGGCCGGGTAATCTTAAGTGGATCCATCCTTTCTTAATCGGTTTCTTGTCCGAAGTGGCATACCAACGGTCCGAAGTAGTGGTAACCTTGCTCTCCATCGTTACCTGAGATGCATGGAAACAACACATCTTTTTTTATTCTGACGATCGTGTCGGTAAAAAATATGAAATTTTAGTTCATGCGTTTTCCATGCTGTTTTTGTTTTGATAATTTGTTAAAGCATTCTCAGTTTCAATCACAACAAACGTTACTCTCCTCCATGCAAGTCAGTCAAATTGTGGAATTGCATTCCCATGCCTATCATTATCATTATAATTCAGCAAATCTAATAATTATAAGATTGCAAACCGAGGAAGGTACTCAGTCGTTGGCGGGTTCGGTGATGCATATCACTAGATTAAAAACAATCGTAATAATCTGAGGAAGTCAAATCGCTCCTAACAAAACATTGAAAATGTCTTACTATGAAGATACGTCTTGGCCTTTGTTGAGAGTTTCAATAAATGCCAATTGATTGCAGCATTTATTTTCCGTAGATGATGGGAATATCATAGTACACATGCCATGCCCTACACTGCACAAATACATGCGAGTACCTTCTCTCGGGGTATGTTATTCTACATGCAATATAAATCTACGAACTTTTTGGAACATGGCGTTATCTACTAGTATACCTTCAAGACCATGATGTGGATCCAGGCTCACATGCGTTGTCTATCTAACTCTGTGGTTATATAATGGACTCATGCTCACATGCATGATGTGGCTACATTTGAACAATGCCTGTGGAGATGACAAAGTTCCTCGATAAGTACCATGCAAATGGACGGACGAGCGCTCTCATGCAGAGCTAACATCTCTCTATGAAGAAATGAGTACACGTGGATCAAAGCATTCATAGGTCAAAACATGAAAGTTCCACAGGCACTGTGCCAAACCTTGGAGTGGAGATACTTTCAATTCACCTTAACTGAAAAAATGCTTCCGTCTACTTTGACAATGTTAATTTGTATAGAGCGCCCTGTTTTGATTTTGAACAAAAAAATCAGGAGGATCTATAAAATGTTTTACTTTTGTTTAAGATGAAGTTAATAAAGGTGACATGAGTGATGATAAAAATTTAATCCTGTATATAAGATAAAATGGGGAGAAAATCATTTCAATATAGCATAAGCAAGAATGAAAAGAAACGCCAAACACAGGTGTCCCCTGATAGCGGGGAGCTGTAGAAGGCGTAACATTTCACATGCAAACTAACACTATGCAGGTGCACGGATTCAAATACAGACCCCAACAATCATGCTTCTCTTATACAGTGTACATCATATTTAAACCAACCAAGAGTAATTTGTGCGTATGACGTCTTTTGAAGATACTAAACATTCTTTTTATTAGTTTTATTTTCCTTTTTACAAAAAAATGTTGTTCAATTTTTTTCTAAAAGACGAAATTTCTTTCATATGGCATGTATAAGCGGTCTTTTTTTCGTAAACAGTAATCTGTAGTTTGTGTATTACTACAAGTTCTTATAAACCTTAAAGCTATAATTCATGTGTCCAAAGACAAAAATATTTTAGCATGAAGGCGTTTTAATGCGTCATTTTAGTTATGCCATATATTTATGAATGACTTTCTCTAATTTCCAAGATCCAAATGTTGAAAATGTACACCTTATTACTGTAAAAATATGAATGTCATGCCAACGGGCCGTCTTGCTCGTGAAATCGGTTTTGTTGAACTCGTTTGTCAGCCACATTATGGAGTAAGGGAGAGAAGCAGATGCACAGATATTCATGGGATCTGGTTGTATATTAAGCAGAGCATGCAAAGTGCAATCAAAAGTTATCAATCAGTTTTTAAAGTATAAATCTAAAAAGGGTTTCTCAAATGAGATATAATTCGAAATTATACTTTGAAGATTAAAATGAATATAATTTTTCTAAGCATATTAAAAAACTCCATACGTTGTTAGTTTCAAATAGAGTTACCGTAAGAAAAACATTTTAATCAATGGTTATTATGAGATATTATGATTATTTGCTTCATTCGACCAGGTGGGTGTTTACGTAAATTCATATATTTAGCGTGGTACTGAGGCAACCCTGGCCTTACCTGTGTCACCGGCGTAAAAGTCCGTCACAGGAAGATCTGGTTTGTACGTTATCCAACCAGCATCTTCGCGCCAAGTGGCGTCATTGGCGTCACAATTGCAAACAGTGCCCGGTTTATGGCACGTGCCGTTCACCCCGCATGCGCACATGTCGCTACCGGGCGGTGCCCCGCCCCAGTAGTACCGGAACTCTCCGTCACGGTTCGCCCAGAAGGTCGTGACGATTTCTCGGCTGGTGGGATGGTGGATAGTAGCCGAATAACATTTCCAGGAGATGAACTGCTTGCATTCCGTCGAGGTGTCTACCAAAAATGCCAACTGCAAAGCGGAGACGGGAGGGAAACCGGGAGAGCCGTATATGAGCGCCAACTGGTATTCACCAGCGCCTTCGTAGCCAATAACTTGAACGGGTTCTTCATTGTTGTGTCCTTATAGAAACATAAGAATAGCATGTATTACTTAACTGTAAATTATATCATGATTTTGTTTTTATTATTGACATCCAGTTCACCTAAATATCTTTTCAGGTTGACATGTCTTGTCAGGTTAGTTTAATAGGCCTTACACCTGTTGTGTTCACACCATGGTTGTTCTCAGTTATCTCTAATGCTGGAAACTCGTGGTGCAGCACATGACTGAACTGTGAAATTGTTACTCTTACCGACAACAGTGTAGGCTCTCTCTTCAGTAATGTTACAGAAGACTGTAAACGGCTGTACAAAACCGTCTGGGCCGTCAGGATCAATGGGGCCATAAGTGCTAACTGTCAGTCCACGCCTCACCCAGTCCTCGCAGTTCAGAGCTGAGGAGACGAAAGAAAATGAAAATTGCATACTCATGGTAGATGAGCTAATAAACATTTTATTCAATGATAAAAACTGCATATAGGAAAACATATATTTCTGCCACAAAATTGAAGAGTTACGACAAAACGCCCACTTAAAAAATGATTAAATAAATAACGGAAAGTAACCCAACGGTTATATTTTCTCAACAGTGAAAAGGACCATATTGGTAAAAACAAGGAACAATTAAGTTGTAACATTTATCGAATGGTTGAGGAGTAAACGAGACATTTTAAGACCAAACTACCTGGATCACATGAGAACACGTGACAAGGGCCAGTCTTCGTGTTGTTCCCAATACAGTCTATGGTGAGATTACCATAAGATTCCATGTCACAGACGCGCGTGCTGTACCGAATACCACCTCCACAGGTGGCGCTGCATTCGCCCCAAGGGGACCACTCCATCCAATCGCCAGGGACTAAAATGGATGACATCACAATAGAATCCAAGAAACTGTTTGGCGTAAGGGTTAGTTATGTGAGCGAAATATGGTTTAGAATGCAAAGCTGGGTTAGAAATGCAAACTGGAAATATGAAAAAAAAATTGAAAAGTGAACATATGGAAATTCGACGAAATGTTTCTAAAAATCTAATAATTTTTCTCCATCCTGTTTGAAATGTCCGTTCACTTTCTAAAAGACAAAGTTTATAAAATATCCTGTATGCGCGCTTCACAGCAGCCATATGATATCGGCGCAAGGTTCGCACAGTATCGGTTCTGGGTGCGTGCAGTATGCATGAAAGCATTCCTTTTAAGAAATAAAATTTGAAAGGTTCAGTTATGGCAGTAAGCAATTGGAAAAATTGAGAGAAAAGCATTAGGAGCGTGTTGATAGTATATCTGAGTGTTGAAGCAGGCGTGTGGCCCAAGGCGTTTACTCACTTGGGCAACCCTGGGGATTACATACACCGGTATCTCCCACTGGCCCTACGCAATCTTTCCCTCCATAATACGGCCCATCACACTGACGAGTTCTACTTCGTTGCCCACCTCCGCAAGTAAGCGTGCAAGTGCCCCATTCGCCCCATGCTTTCCATATGCCGTCGACTGGAGAAAAAGCTTATAAGCGTGAATAGGCAAACCTTTTACAGCATTAGAAAGCATTTTGCAGAGGTGCACGCAAACGCATATAAATCTGAGGATTTTGCCCTCTCTCTCTCTCTCTCTCTCTCTCTCACACACACACACACACACACACACACACACACACACACACATGCACGCACGCCCATAAAAAGCAAGAAAAATGTGCAGAATTCAATCATTAAAGATCAAATGAGATACTACACGTATGATAAGACACATTAACGTAGTCTTTTGCAAAGCTGAAAGTCGACAAATTGTCAAGAAAAATGAATAAGCAAGCTTTTCACAATAAAAGAAGGGTCTTTGCAAATGTATAAGCTTAAAAGCATAGGTCTCTCTCTCTCTCTCTCTCTCTCTCCCTCTCTCTCTCTCTCTCTCTCTCATAAAATAAAGAGGTATCATAGATCACTTATTATAGACAAGGTGCGTTGCATTTTCAAAGATTCTGGCGTGAAAAGGTATTAAACGAAAGAAAAAATCCGGACTCAAAAACGCGCAAAAATATAACAAAAGTAAGAGATGTGCGAGCTTATACAAGTGAATTACAGGATGAAATCATGAAACTATCATCAGTAGGACTGGATATTGTCAATAAAGATCAAAAGTGCAAAAATTGGATGATCTGAAAAATAGTAATTCTGGTTGATGAACAGTATGAAAATGAGAAAGCACATGTCTGCCCAAAGCACATGGCACAGGTAGAAAATTTTTCTGTACAAAACGGTGCAGTAAGAAACAAACGCAAAAAAAAAAAAAAAAAACGCAATAAAAATTGTAAAATTAAAAAGTTGAAGTGGTCCTTCTATATATCCAGTGTAATTTTCACGTCTACGAAATGCAGTACTCGCAAACTATACCGGGACAATGATGCGTATTGCAGTCGCGCGAATCCTGTAATGGACCGTCACATTCAGCGCCTCCGAAAAACGGACCGTTGCACACCCTTTCTCGCATTTGTGTTCCTCCGCCACAAGAAACGGTGCATTCTCCCCAAGCTGCCCATGGGTCAAACACACCATCGACTGGAAGACATGTATTGCTTAGACAAATAACGCACAAATACTGATATCTGAGCTCTGGTAAAATATCTGCCAAACGTTCTAACGAAAACCATTCCAATATTCACAAATAAAAAGAAAAACGATGCCATATGTACAAATAAACATTTTACGTGGCCTCGACATTGACTGTGGCCTTAGTACCAAAGTTGTTTTGCCTCTTGAATCATGGAAACGTCCAATACAAGTATAAGGGAACATGCCTGGGCAGTTATGCTCATTACAAGCTCGGGATTCATCACTTGGTCCTTGGCAATCTGCTCCACCGTAAAAGGGACCGATACAGACTCTGCTCCGGTTTTGATTACCACCGCCACACGAGACGCTGCAAGGTCCCCAGTCCAGCCATTGGTCGAAGACTCCGTCCACTGCAAACCACAACTTGTATTTGAAATAAAGAATTCGCAGACACACACACACACACATCGGCTAACACATGGACGAAAAAGAGATTCAGATTTACATGTACGTGGTTTTCTTTTTGCACCAACTAACCAAACAGCCAACCAATCAAAAACAAACATACCAAAAAGAAGAAAAATGCCTTCAATTTCTCACATGTTCTTTTCCTGACTTATGTTAAGTAGACCATATTTCCTAAAACTTGCCTGGGCAGTGATGCGTATTACATGGCTGGGTTTGGTTCCAGGGCCCTTCGCAATCTTTGCCGCCATAAAATGGCCCTGTACACGTCCTGTTGCGATGCTGCTGTCCTCCCCCGCAAGACAGGCTGCATGAATACCATTCTGACCATTGTACGAACACTCCGTCGACTTGTAAAATAACCAGTAACAGGTCGAAAAATTTAACATGGAAATCAGGCACAAGGGTGGTTAAATCTTGCTTATGTATTTGACAAAAAGACGCCATGTGCTTGTTTTGTTAGTTTTTACGTAAAATGCTCTGATTTGGTTTATTGCTGTCCATTTTCGAGCCTCTGAATACTTGCTCCAAAGCGTTGTCAAGAATAAGTATTCTAAAAACCATCTTATATCTTAGAAAACAATAATTTTTAAAATGTTTGTAAGATTCGAAACACGGGTGGAATCAATGAACTTAACTTATCGAGTTCTACGTAAACTGATTCATTTATAATTTACCTCAAACAATGTACTAAACAAACATCAACTAACGAGGCAAGAACACCAGACTGCACACAAACAGGAAAACAACACGTCAATAAAGTCTCCTGAAAGAATTAAAAATAAAAATACTACACAGGCATGACCCTTAAAATTTGGTGGCATACATATTTTAAAGTAGACGTCTTCAATACGCGCTTTCAAATCAAACGCACAGAATGCAAACACAGAAAACTATTGCTCATTAAAATACAAGTAGAATAAAAACACATAACCAAGAATAATGACCAAACCCTTTCATTCAAAAACCAATTTTATTTCGAAAAAAGACTCATGACAAAGATACAAAAAAGTAATGCACTCTAAATCAGATCAATTGAACAAACACAAAAATGCAGACATTTCATTTAACAATACCCACATTCATGAGATGCAAAACTAAACAAAGTTAAAAGATTGTCATATGTATTTCACACTCAAAGCTCAAATATGTACAAAGACAGAAGTCCACAGATTGACACGTTTTTCACAATACACTCTAGTAATATACCACAGACAAGCAAAAACGAAAAGAAACTATACACCAAGAGCAATCACCACCCAAAAACCTCATACCCGGACATTCGTGAACATTACACGCCTGAGTTTCATTAAAATCGCCTTCACATTCGCGTCCGTGGAAGAAAGGACCCACACAGACTCTGTGCCTGCCCTGGGTTCCCCCACCGCAAGAAACACTGCAGCCTCCCCAAGACGACCAATCCGAGAATTCGCCGTCGACTGGAACGACACATCATCTTAATTTTCTCGACAAATATCGGGCGGATTTAAGAAATCCACGAGAGACCAAAAATACAAAACACGCGGTATTGTAAAAAAGCAATGGATGTTTTAGAGGTGTACATAAGAAATAGTTAATACAAGTTATTTGAAATATATCTTTCCACGAAGTGTTATCTGAAAAAGAATTTTGATATCACAGGATATGAATCAATTAAAAAAACTGAAGAAAACAGAACTAAACATACCGCATTTTTTGTTTTTACAACTGAGGATATGGATACTACTAATAATAATTTGAAAATCACGGTCAATGCATTTAGTTAACAAAATCCATAAACTAAATTTAAACTGTCATCTAACAAACATTAACCATTCATAAAACTCGAAACAGAAGTGTATATTCTTACTTGGACAAGGGTGAGAATTGCAGGCCTGGGACTCATTCCAGCTGCCCTCGCAGTCCCTCCCCTTGTGGTACGGCCCGTCACAGTCACGGTATCTCCACTGTATCCCTCCGCCACAAGACACGCTGCAGTTATCCCAGTTCGACCATTGCCTCCAGACACCGTCAACTGGAATAGGGAAGGAGGGTTTGAATTGATGCGAGGAACAGGGTGACAAAAATACTTATTACGGACGTGGAACGAGTAACTGTATTTTACGTTTAAATTTTGATTCAGCTGTTGCGTGCACTTTTCCATCTTACTTTTATAGTTTGCTTTATAAAGACACTAAGCATGTCACAACATGTTATAAACATTAAATATGTAACAAACGTGTTATCTTCTATTATTTTCAAAAGAGAACGAAAAGCAACTGTTCTTCAACTGCCACATAAAACAAGAAACACCAATATATATCTAACAATTAAGCAAGAAATGTGCATGTATAAACCAACATATTAAAAATATTATAAATCACACATATGATTTTAAAAACTATATAGCTTCACTGATATATAATCTCATTTGGATATGTGTAGACACCATTTAAACAACAAAACAAAATGTACCATTAAAATCCAGTAAACTATGCATAAAGCGCAAAGACCAAATAGATATCCATTGAGACTGCGCATAAGTACCAATCTGTTAACATCTCAATACAAAGAAGCAGAGAAACCAAAATTTTAAGAGGGTGACGTAACACTTCGCCCGTCCCTGGCTGAGGCGATCTGTAAAAGTGTGAATTTTGGAGCATTATGCGAGACTTGTTTTTCGCATTGGTACGGTACAGGGACTGAATTCACCAAGCCCCCCCTTATGTATGCTTTGTGGAAATCAATGGATATCCATATGGTTCTAGTAAATAGTTAAAAGTGTCAAGATAAAAAACTATCACCCCTAAACACCAAGAGAAAGTACACTATGAAGAGGAGTCAGGTGTAGAAACACAGAAAAGATCTACGAGTAAAAGTAGACAGACGCGAGTGGCTCATTCAGTCAGCATCTCAGCAACTCTATCTCCTGAATTCTTGATCACCAATTGCAGATTTAACGCCCTGCCGGATCTGAAGTGCATTTCATAGCTCTGCTTGACAAGCGCTGTAGTTCTGTTCAGCTGAGTTCAATCCTAGGTTCCTCGGACAGGGGTCCAAAAAGAATACATGCATATGAAGCACACAGTTGCACCACTGATGACAAGGTTTTTGAACGTGAGGCCACACGTAAAACGGTGTAATTTCATAATGATTGTTATAAATGTGGAATCACACACGTGATACATTCAGATGACACGTGACACATTCAAATGACACGTGATTCAGACCTGGGCACGGATGTGTATTGCACGGTTGTGAGCTGTTCCAGCTTCCTACGCAGTCCTCTCCTCCGTAAAAGGGGCCTGTGCACTGCCGGTATCTCCACTGTATACCTCCGCCACAGGATAAATCGCAGGCGTCCCATTCGGACCACTCCTCAAAGACGCCGTCAACTTGATTAAACAGGTTTAAACATTAATGGAGAGACCATCTCTGAACGTTTTTCCATTCCATGTCTACATACATTTTGAGATGATGCAGAGTATGTTCATAGTATACTATTGCGCATAATTTGGAGACATTGTGAGTAACATAATGTTATGTATCTGACGAATTTCAATACGGAGTGAGACATTTTCTGACAACACATACATAATTATTTAATAGTTTCATCATGACCAACTGCAATGCAGCATCAAATATTAATCCAACTACACTAATATTTTGCCCATTGACCGTATTAAGTCGGTTAAAAGAACTAGAGAGCATATTCAAAACGACGTTCAAGTCTCTAATAAACAAAGTTGACAACACTCCACATCTAAGTTTCTATACAAAATACCGGGACAGTGGTGAGAATTGCAATCTCTGGTGTCCACAAGAGCTCCGATACAGTCTTGACCACCGTGGAAAGGTCCGTCACAAGTCCGCTCTCGGTTCTGCGTTCCCCCTCCGCAAGTGACGTTGCACGTTTCCCATTCAGACCATTGAGTGAAAACTCCGTCGACTAAGAAGTATGCATTTCAAAATCTAAATTCTTGCAAAACATTGCATCAAGACTATGTCCAAAATAAAACTCTTTTCCCACTCGGGCGTGTTAACAAAGATTACATAACAAAATATGGTTTCCTACAATTTACCATGGGTAATACTAAAGCTAATACACTACCAGGGTATTACTAAGGGGAAAGCCGTAAATATTATCTCTACTGCATGCCAAAAAAGTACGCGTTTCCATGCCATTAAATAATATCTAATATTTGTTTACACAACCGTTTACATGCCATCAATTACAAAGAACATTGTAAAGCCATAGCTATTAAATATGGTATTATTTCAGATCACTCTAATAAACCAAAATTAAATCTGACTCAAGCTTGCTCAACCAATACTATACTATTTTTCCAGCTACAGCCGTTTGCCCTGCACTAGTAACAATTCACTGTATACTTATTTGTATTTATACACAAGTAAATGCACAAGCAGATACACACACGTATTACAAAACATACCGGGACATGGGTGAACGTTACACTCCTGAGACTGATTCCTCGCTCCAACACAATCCGCCCCGCCGTGTGCCACGCCCCAGCACTCCCTGCTACGCCACTGTATCCCGCCGTTACAGCTGACCGAACACTGCCCCCAGTCTGACCAGAGACTGAATGAGCCATCCACTAAAATTTTAACAGCAAAGGCGATAAGCTATATACCATGTGTAAACAGAATCGGCGCCTGTTGTGGTACTGTTGACACCTGTGTAGCATTAAGCAGCGTTCGCAGCAATAGATGTAATTAAAAGAGTTGTAAAAGATGAGATATAGTTAAGCAAGTTTAAGCTGCACTACTTGATGTCAAAAAAGTCTAGCAAAAAAGTGTTGACTAAAATTGCAGCAGAAAGTGGGGATCATCCAAGGTAGAACAAAGATTCGCGGCTTGGCGAAAAATGAAGCGATATTCCCAAAAAGTGCCGACAGCCTCTTTTTAGCCTATCTCGGATGGTCCCTATTAGCAAAGCATTATTTGTACCTTAAAAGTAAGCAAAGTCGAGTTAAATTTGTTCACGTTTCGCCAGTTCCAAATACTTTAATTCAAAGAAACAACGTGTGTGTTCATACTATTTAGCAGTTGGACATACCTGGGCATGCGTGCTCATTGCAAGCGCGTGAGTCATTTTTAGGACCCTGGCAAGCCAGGCCCCCGTAGTAAGGGCCATCGCATTCTCTATTTCGCGACTGCATGCCACCTCCACATTCACGAGAGCATGCTTCCCATGCTGTCCATTCTTGCCATACTCCATCCACTGATTTACATAATAAGTAAATAAATAGGTGCCGATACGATAGTTTCCATATAGATATATTTATTCTTTAACAGGGCCTGTGATATGACTACAGTCACAACAACATGCGTGTTGAAACATGTGGAGTGCATAAAGGGCAAGGTTTCAGGCTATAGATTCGTTTGTATGCCCGAGTGACAGTTGTTACTGAAGACTGGTATGCGAGCGTGAAGGGTATTAACGCTACGCCCTATTTTGATCGATCTGAGATTGCCCCCAAACGATGCACAAACACGCCTGTGTTATGCCAAACGAAAGTGAAAGACAATCGTTATGCCTTATTCAAAGATTGCACGGATTGCACACGATGCTCAAATACTGTCGATGCAAATGTGAGTGAAAGGTATAAGCGCTATACCTTTATATCTGGTATTGCTGATGACAAATACCCACACGATGCCAGTATACGTGTTTAAATTAATTCACACAAAAATAACGTGTATAGCGCGATTATCTTTTATTTATTATATACGTTAACAAAATTAACATTGTCTCTTTGAATCACACGTGCGGTGTGTTCACTCTTAGTGCTGTGGTGGCGAACTCCAAACTGGCCCTTAAAAGAGAAACACAGTTAAATTAGAAAAACATTAATGATAAACGTTAACCACTTAAATGAAATGTTTATAAATGTTTACGATCGTTCGATATATTTCACAATATGCTGTCAGATCAATTGGCTGAAAACGCTTTAACAACATACCGGGACAATTATGGGTATTGCATTGCATGAATTCCTCGCTGTCGCCCTCACAATTTTTGCCGCCATGTTGGGCGGCAGCGCAACTCCTGTAGCGCCTTTGAATGCCACCGCCACATGTGACATTACATGTGAACCACCTCGTCCACAAACTCCATGCTCCGTCCACTGGAAGTAAGGCAGTGGACATTGGTTTACGATTCAGATTTATGATTCAGAATGGTCCGTGACGGTGTTTTCATATCATTTTGATTTTTTAAACTTTAACGCAGAAATACTGCAAGATTGAATGGCTGTATATATTTTGTCCAAGGTCGAAAAGTGTAAATGCTCGTATTTAAGATAAAAGGGTAATAGAATAGTTATTTTTCGGATTGCGTCCTCTAACGTTCAGACCAAACTTTGCTAGGTAGTTAGAATCGTTATGGATGACATTAGATCTGTCTTTTAACTGTCGTACAAAAACAGAAGAATGTTTTGAAAAGAACTTAAATATAATGCAGTAATAAAACAAATTTCGATATGTATACATATATTTTACCTGGACAAGGGTTGTCGTTGCAAAAGCCTGTCTGGGTCGACTCTCCTTCGCACATTTGGCCGCCGTAGCGTGGCAGCATGCACATGCGCGAGCGCCGCTGTGTCCCCCCTCCGCAGCTGGCAGTACAAATTGCCCAGGTTGACCAACTTAGCCATTGTCCATCCACTGTAAATGTACACTTAGATGGTCAAGTTGACGTTTTTGTTAGCAGCACAAGTGCCATGAGAAACTTAAGCTTGCCAAATTTAGATTAGTGTTTTTTTGTCACACTGTAAATGAGAAAACCAAGTATTAAGAAAACTGTTCACTTTTTGAATTTTTCCACAATTATCGAATATCCGAAAAATGATTGGATAAAGTTGCTTGTTTTGGACAGAATCAATCACAAGTGCAAAATGCTGAAAATTCGGGTTCTGGCAATATTTTCTTCACACGTGCAGAAACGCTCGGAAAGCGCTGGAATGCGTCCAGCGAGAGAAGGAAAATATCATTTGTACCAGGAAAAGATTCAGAGTTTCATCATTAGTATATAGATTAATTCGTGAAGAACCGAACTGAATCCTGCCGTAGTGTTAAGGTTAAGAGTTACAGAGAGAAAGCAAGGGTTGCACACCAAGCATGCAACAGGTTAGTACGACTCCATGGAACAAGGAACAACACGGTGACAATCTCCACTCCACGCGTGCTTATAGAGCGAAACCGTCGCAGCGGATCAGTTTACCAGGACAGTTGTGCTCGTTACAAGCTCTGGTTTCATTTGCCGGCCCGTCACAATCAGCACCGCCGAAAAAGGGACCAATGCATTCTCTGGAATGCCACTGTTCCCCTCCCCCACATAGATGTGAGCACTCGCTCCATTCCGTCCAATTGCTCCAAATGCCATCAACTGAAACATGAAAACGGTGAGATACATACACTTTCTTCATGACTACATGATTTGGTTTTGAAATTTGATTTTAAAAAATATTGAGAAAATTTTTCATAATTTGCATTTAGGAGTATTATATACCATCAAAAGGTACTGCTCATTTCTAAATGAAAAGAGTAAATTCGAGAACCAAAATGTTACGTCAAAATATTCGTCTTGTTTTCTCCTTTACAGCCTTAATAAAAATATTCCAAATAAAAAATTAAGACAGGAAATATCAGTTTTATGAGTCTTTTAAAGCCTTTGCTGAAGAACTTACCGGGGCATTCATGAGTGTTGCACTGCCTGACATCAGTTGTATTCCCAGTGCAGTTCTGACCTCCGTATAACACCTCGGAGCACGTGCGCGTCCTGTCCTGTTCCCCTCCTCCACAGGAGACAGAGCACTGACCCCATTCTGACCATTCGTTCCACTGACCGTCGACTGGAGAAGAACGATTGTGTTTTTAATTGCACCTAGGTAGAATTGTACACACCTACTTTTATAGCACACACACATTTTTGACTGTTCTGAATCTTTCAGAAGGTTTCTAAATGTTAATTTATTATAGTTTCAAACACGTAGGCCTACATCCTTGTTAGGTTTCCTGTATTTGACTTTATATAACATCAAGGAAAACAAGGTAAAACATATTAAGCTTGCATGTGTATAACCAATTACTATGATAAGCCTATGCCAGTGGTTGTTATGAGTGTTTTTAGAAGCACATGTTAAAATGTTAGCAAGAAAAAAACTACTTAGGCGCGAAAATCAACATTAAAAAATGAAACTTACTGGGACACGGATGAGTGTTGCATTCCTGTTGCTCACGCGCTGCGCCCGAGCAGTTTGCCCCACCGTAGTACGGTCCGTCACAGTCACGTGAACGATTCTGTATTCCTCCGCCACACGTCACTGTGCAAACCGTCCATTCTGTCCAATTTCCCCAAACACCATCAACTAGAGAACCGAGAGGGAGAATTTGCTGTACACGACAAAGAAAGCCTTGCCCCTCTTGCAGGAGGGTAGGAATGAAGCTGCTACAACACCGTAAATAGCAAAAGTAAAATGGATACTACTGCTACCATAAGCATTAAGTTACTACTTAAATGAAAATGATAGTGATGCCAAAGAGGATTTAAACGAAAAATAGGGGAGTTCCCAGAGTAGGGTGCATTTATATATATATATGTATCTAGATGTACCACTAAATATATCAGTACATGCAAAGGATGAAGTGTAGCACGCAGAAAAGCAAATAACGTGTCTTTCCGCTTAGACTGATCCAACTCTGCGAAGCTTCTCCAAAGATTGGACCATCAAACCCAAGAAAAGTGCACCTTGTTTTGGTACATTGAGTTGGTGGACTGTGAATTACGATTAGCTAGTTTTAACCTACTTGGACACTTATGTGTGTTGCAAGTCTCAGATTCGCTCCATGCTCCCTCGCAATTTTTTCCGCCGTGATATGGGCCGTCACACGTTCTGTCCTTCCACCTGGTCCCGCCCCCGCACTGGACTGTGCAGTTGGACCACTCGCTCCAGCTGGTGAATACGCCGTCAACTGAAATACCAACACTTAATTTCAGTCATATCTGATGTATTAGAGAACCATTTACTGAAATAAGAAATAATAGAGCCAGACTATTATTTTAATATCGCCATTAAGCGTGCGGAAGAAGGAGGGGCGAATAGACGCAGACTGGTAACACTTGACAAAGAAGCAAGGAGGTACATATACAAGTAGGAATGAACAACAGAAAAACTACAGCTGGCAAGGTACGGGGATGGATGTATTAAGCTCAGAGGAGAGCACAAGATGCATGGTTACTTCAAATAATCAATTAAGTTAACAACGAATAACAGTAACAACAACCCGGCTGGTACCAGTACAAAACTGCCTTTATTTATAAGACAATAGAAAATGTGATATGATGATTTATGTTACCAAAATTTAAGTAAATATTTTAGTTTAAACCAATATGCACGTGATGACAGTTACCTACCAGTGGTTAAACGAAGACGGGTGCAAATGACAAGATACTAGTAAATGCCATTTTAACAATGTTTACCCTTATATTACACAAATTCAAATAAATCATCAATAACAAGAAAATAAATATCTGTAAATATCTGTAAACCATTACCTGGGCAGTGGTGAGTGTTACAGGCCTGAGATTCGTTCCAGTTTCCCTGGCATTCCTTTCCACCGAAAAACGGCCCAATACAGCCCCTGTAGCGCCACTGTGTGCCGTTCCCACAGCTGGTACTACAGGTGTCCCAGGCCGTCCAGTTACCCCATACTCCGTCCACTAAAGACATAACAATAAGATTATGCATATATGGTATCGAAATCTCATCAGAAAAATACTAATTTCTTGAATTCATAAGACTGGCTTTTTAGTATTGTTCTATATGCTCGTCTTTTCTCATAATTTAATCATTAATTTTTCGGGCTGATGTTTGTATCTTGCATACTGTCAATATAAAACGTTTCATGACAGTTCTGTTACATTTAATCTATAGTGAGCATACAAATATTTGTGGTGAAGTGACTAGCAGATGTGAATTTATCTGCTATTATGGTTTCTAATTAAGTAAGGGGGCACATTTATTAGGATTCTATAACTAATATTTATATTCTGGTAGCCTATCATGCCATCTGACAGACCGCTATTGTGTTTAGCGGTACCTACGTTTCTTTGTTGACTAAACATAACATATAGATATTGGCCAAGGCAATTATTTCAAAATACCATTGCCACGATTTTAAAGTTGATTTCCCACTGTAACATAGGGCAAGTATCATATTAATTTAAATGGCAAAAGAATATATGTAGGCCTATAATCCACACCACGATAAATGTTAAAAATGCCTTAACTGACATTGCTTCTTTCAGACTTTCTTTTTGCCTTGATTCATTTAACATTTATTAATTTGACACGTTTTCTTTCCGTGAGGAGACCCAATATATGTACCTGCACATTCGTGAGTGTTGCAATTTCTAACTTCCTCCGTAGGTCCGTGACAGTCTTCACCTAGGAAATACGGACCGTCGCACTCTCGGGTCCTATTTTGTGTTCCTCCGCCACACGACACATCGCAATTAGTCCAGTTACTCCAAGCTTTCCAGATCCCATCAACTACATGGAAATAAGTGGGCAGTGAACCCATTTATGTGATTTATAAAACGCGATGCCATCATGTTCAAAACTCGTTCACTGTCACTCGCCGGCGTTATCGCTTGACTAACTTGCCTTGCCCATGCATTCAAGCTTGTGCTCTACCAAAAATAAACTAGAAAATGCTGTCTAATGAGCTATGACATCAAGGTTATTCTATATATACTCTACATACACACCAATATATTACAATACAATGTGCGCAGCTAAGCAATAGTGGATACCACGCAATACCTGGACACTCGTGCACGTTGCATGCCTCTACTTGACTGGCATCTCCAGTACAATTTCGACCACCGTAATAAGGTCCGGCACATGTCCGGAACCTTGACCGTTGCCCAGTTCCGCATGATCCACTGCAGTTGGTCCATGCTGACCACGCTCGCCATTTCCCATCGACTGAAGATGAAAAATATGAAAAATATATAAAGTGGATGACACTTCTGTAAAACCACTTATGTTCATCGAATGTATAACAATACTGGTATTAATCTAGCAATAATCAGTCAGGTTGCACTTAGTATTTATACATGTAATTACTCAAGTGTAGGTCTTGGTTTAATTGCTTTCAAAATAAGTTGTTTTGCATACATCTGCTTTGAAAAGGGTTCACATGCAAACCACAAAGAAACCACACTGTTTTCCTTTCACAGTAACTTACTTGGACAATGGTGCGGGTTGCAGTCCTGGTACTCGATGTTGCTCCCGGTGCAGTTGCTGCCGCCATGGAGACCCGCTATGCAGTCCCGGACACGTGACTGCTGTCCACCACCACAACTGACATTACAGGTTGACCACTCAGACCACACGCCCCAGTAGCCATGAACTTGTGAGAGAAAATTACGCAAGAGAATTAGGAGAACAAAAAAGTGCGAGCATGCGGTGGAAGCCAAGCGGAACTTGCTGCCATATTGGATCTGCCAACGCCCATATTGGACGACCCAATCTGAGACATTCTCTGAAAAAAAAATCTGGAAATTTCTTGCCGTTTGATTTTCACCTGTAGCAAAAAGAGAGCGCACTGTTTCACAAAAGAATTAACATAAACATCTACTTCACTGTACAATCTATGCGACATAAATTAACAACGTCCATCTAAGCAACACTGAAGCACTAAAGACTAAACGTAAGGGACGAAAACATATAATAAGATACTAGCAGGACACTACAGTTCTGATGGCACAATCTTGTATTATAACCACGCAAAAATTTCCAAATCGCGCGTGTCAAACAAACTCTATAGACATCTCCTGCCCTAAACATTTCTTTTCCCAGATGTGTCTTACTTGGACACGGATGGGTGTGACAATCTTGATACTCGACAGCGGGCCCTGAACAGTTAGCCCCGCCATAAAACGGACCGTCACACGAACGCTGCCGAGACTGAATTCCACCGCCACAGCTAACGTTGCAGCTGTTCCATTCGGTCCAAGCTTCCCAGATTCCGTCAACTGTTAAAAAAGAAAATAATCGTGAAAAATTACAAGGAATTGAAAAAAATAAGGGATTTTAAGGGATTTTAACTTTTTACAGTTTAGCTCCGACCCCTTCACCAAAAGCTAAAATGGGTTTTCATAAATAATAAATTAACATATACACGTAGCTTTAAAACCAACACCGATATCAGATTATATGCAAGCAGCAGCGTGAGCACATAAAAAATACAAAAATGATTTTACCTCAGAAAAAGCGTTTTAAATGAAACTTCAAAAAAGAAAGAAAAGCTCAAATCTTAAAAGCGGCCGGATGATAACATATCAAATGAATTGTTTCTCAGTTTCCAAAAACAAAAATTCAGTTTCGCATTTTCATAGGGACAATGGCCAAAAGTAAAATGTTTTTTTAAATACATATCACCATCTTCGACTCCACACATCACCGTTACCTGGACAATAGAAGTCATTGCATATCTTGGAATCGATATCTGGTCCCGAGCAATTCAGACCGCCATAAAACGGCCCGGTACAAGTTCTGTAGCGGTGTTGCATACCACCCCCGCAGGTGACATTGCAGGTGTCCCAGGAGGTCCAGTTGGTCCAGACACCGTCAACTGAAAATGAGCAAAGTGACTTATGCACCAAGCCTTCAATAAAGTCCACTTTTACATATGTCGCCTTTACTGCACCATAAAGCGTAGCAGTCTTATAAATAGGGACACTAAAAATGCTTCATTGAGTAATCTTAAAGGCCACATAAAGGTAAGAGCATGAGAAGAGATAATCATTATTCAAGAATTCACAATGACGTTTAGCAGCAAACTGTAAGCTGAACACAGCGGCTTTAAGTTTTGGCAAAAACGTAAGAGCAAAAGATATTCCACATGAAAGGCTAATTTTGAAAGTGAATTGATTGAGTTGGTGACAAAGCTGAGAACATACATCAAGAATGGCATCAAAAGTGATCTGAGTTAATAAGAAAGCTGCGAGTACGACATTTATACAGTAATGCGTAATAAATGGACACACCTTATCACTGGAACATGAATGCACTTTAACGCAATTTGGTTCGCTGGGAAGTTAAAATAACGTTAATCAAACATTTACACAGGAACCACGCGCAGCGGCAAAGTTCATTTGTACATAAATCACATCGGTGAGGATATATAGATGATTCAAAAGAACACAAGACCAACTTAGCACTACCCTAGCAATACCTGGACAGTGATGAGTATTGCATGGCTGAAAATCCTCTGTTGGACCAGAGCAGTTGGCACCACCGAAGAACGGTCCGTCGCAGACCCTCCACCTGCTTTGAATTCCACCGCCACAGGTCGTATTGCACGTACCCCATGCGGACCACGTGACCCAAACGCCGTCAACTTAAACATACCATACAAAGCGCATAAGAAATGAATGAAAATGAAAGCTTAAGCTAGAGTAACAAGACTGGAGGACTTCGTCCACACGAGATGGTCAATTATGTCCCTTGGTCTCCAAGGTGTCTGTGTGTCAATTACGCTATCTTGAAAACAGGTCATACATCTTTAGGTGTCAGGGTCACTAAAGTTAAATCTATTTCCAAATACACATTTTCAATGTCTTATATACATGTACTGCTTAAATAAGATAAACCTTCAATCTGGTACCGCCCTAAGCGTTTCGAACCTCGATCGATTTCATTAATATTTCATCATTACGATTTCTAGGAATTCCATTCAACTTACTTGGACAATTATGTGTATTGCAGGCTCTTGACTCAGTGAAGGGACCGGAGCAATTTTGCCCGTGATAGAATGGGCCATCGCATTCACGAGAACGGCCCTGGGTGCCGCCGCCACACGAGAGAGAACACGTCTCCCACTCTGACCAGGCCTTCCAGACACCGTCCACTGGAAATTGTAATTTAAGAATATGGACCAGTTACTTAATGGTAAGGGCCGTAATAAAAAACGATCCAAGAGTGTCCCACATGTCACTTCATCCCTTAACTTCACAGTGGTGGACTTACAGGGGTGGGGAACATACGGTAATATCCAAAACAAGTGGGGGGATACTGTTCAAGGTTCTGTCCTTGAAGGCCAAGTAAGGTTATGACCAAGGCCACTCGGAAATTAGTCCACCACTGTTTTGAGATGCAAGATGTTATGTTTTGATAACCAGTTCGCAACAATGAAAAGCATAGATAGTCTTAGTTTAGAAATTAACAGAAAAAGCTTAGCAATGCTAAATTACATCTATAATTCGAAACACAGAAACAGTGAAAACGCGCCGGCGACGCACAAATCAGTTGTGAAAAGCATGAACTCAGCGCGAGCACTTGACGCCGTTTCGTTCAGTGGCAAGCTTAATTTATGAGCACACATACAAAAAAACTTATCATATAAAGCCTTTTACTATTGACCTTTACAGTCTGTTTCTTCTTATTCGCTGCAATGGGACAAATGTGATAAATGCAATGGAGATAAATAATACAAAATATCCAGAAATTACCGGGGCAGTGATGAGTATTGCATTCTTGAACGTCTGTTGGGTCACCAATGCAGTCAGTGCCATTGTAGAAAGGCCCGTAACACGATCTGTTACGCATTTGGGTACCATTACCGCAAGACACAGTGCACTCAAACCACTCGCTCCATGCTTGCCATACGCCATCGACTGAAACAGAAAAGCATTTTACCTTGAAATCGCCGCACGAAATGAACCTGATAGCAGCAAAAACAATCAAGAGATAACACGTTCAGTTGAAGTTGAATTGTGTGCGGACAGTTCACGCCTGAAATGAGTACGCTTGCTCAGTTATTACCGTACCATGTATCAATCAGTACTGGCAGGCTTATGTAGTATCAAGAGTTTCTCTCTTTTACTCTATCTTTGAGTAAAATGTGATACGACTAAGTCGCTCCTTTATAATCCAAATTATTATCCAAATACGGTTAAAATACATGTAATTATGAACTTAAACGATATTTACTACAGCAACAGGTATGCAACCCTATCCTAAAGTGAACGTCCTGGACCACCATAGGGGCGCTAGATCGCATTCTGTCCATATTAAGAAATCACGCCGTATTGCACGTGTGGACTTACTTGGACAATTGTGTTCGTTGCAAGCCCGGGTGTCGGTTGGAGAACCTGGACAATCTTCTCCACCATAGAACGGACCATAGCACACACGGGTCCGGCCTTGCTGTCCACCTCCACAAGATACACTACACGATGCCCACTTGCCCCACGTGTCCCATACACCGGCCACTGCAAGCACATATATATGTAATAGAATAGTTTACGAATTTTAGTGTGCCAAACGCACACCACATATATATCAACTTTAACAAAAAAGTGATAAAACGAAATCAGCCTCAATGTCAATATAACCCTTCAAATTAGACTCTTTCTATACATATCTAGTATTGTTATTAAAATGTGTAAATACGTAAGTCAGCAGCTATGCTTCTTTGTACTACGTTATACCTAGTTTTTCTAACCCCATTAATCTTCAAATAACATTCATCACACTTTCATTTTACCTTGATGGAAAGTACAAATAAAAAAAAAAAATAATGAAAATGAAAAATAAGCACAGTGTATAATATATCGATAGTGTATTACACTCACCTGGGCAATGGTGAGTGTTGCAGTCTTTGTACTGGACAAACTTCCCCTGGCACATATCACCGCCGTGCAGGGGGTTCTGACAGAGCCTCTGCCGAGATTCCTGCCCGCCGCCACAGCTAACGTTACACGTGCCCCACTCCGTCCAGGGAAGCCAGACGCCATGAACTAAAATTATCAAAAATTTTCAAAAACGTGGATATGACAAAATACGCTTAATACAATACAATTTCAATACAATTCTTACTTTAGTGGCTTACAGCTATGGCCTGATTTTGCATTTTTCGTATTAGTTAGGTAGTATTTTTTTTCCTTTGTCGACAGCTAATGTGTAGTAGGAAAAGGACTTGAAATCTTCCGATATACTGTCTACTACAAGGTAACAACACTTATGCTTATAATTCTGTAAAATGCATTGATATAGGAATGGTTCAATTTCGTGTAACAGACTTGAAACAATAAAAATCGTTGATATACCTTCAAGTGTTTCAATATTTGGATTAATGTCAATATATTCAATATTTAATTATTTAGAAGCAGTGTTGCAACTTGACAATTCTTATATGGAATACCAATCGATTATCGTCTACCTCAAGCATCATGGCATTTTCATTTACAGACTATCTGAAGAAACAACACATCTAATTAATCTTACCTTTCTACATTTGGCGCCCGTCTCTTTTCTTTGATAATGTTCCCTGCGTGACAGTAAACCGTGCCACCCAACGCCCAAACAAAGTGTCTTAAGTTCAAGTGCTCCGCGAAATGAAGTTCCCACGCGTCTTATCGCAATTGTGCGTGGCCAGCTGCTAGCCGGCCATCTTGCCGGCTTGCCTGCCATCTTGCCCGCTTGCGAACGACATATGTACGAATACATGCAAATGCAACGGATTTCTCAACGATTCTTACTTGGTGATATGGGTCGGATTGTTTACGTTACATGTATCGAAATGCACAATATTACCGCATTGTGATAAGTCTCATGCCTTTTTAATACAATTCGATGTGATTAATATTCTCTAAAAAGAAACGTTTTTTTTAATATTGTAATGCCCAAGCTTGATCAAGATTATGCCCTCATGCTAGCTAGAGAAGGATGTAAGCTATCAAAGATATCAGTTCATGCAGCAAAGAGGAAAAGAGAGTAACAACACTCACAAATATATCTGAAAAGGGCGGTCTAAGATACACCATAAATGTTGGCCGAACATGCTATTTGTATCATCAAATATTCTATGATTCCATATAGAAATTCAGCATGCAATTGCAATATTTCAATGAAGTGCTGCATTTCCAGAAAAAGAATGGAATGAAAAATACCGCTACGAGTTTGGGTGGGGGTAATCAGGTCAATGTTATTTTTTCATGCTAGGATCCTTTGGTGACATGAAAGGTACTAGTACGTATGTACTTTCCAATTGCTCATGCTGCCTGGAAAGTGTATTTCATACTTTCCACTTTTTATCATGCTTTGGAAAGTATTTTGTATTGTAGCGCTTGATAGTGTCCCAGACCGCCGCCATTCTTGCTATGATGAAAAGCTTACCTTTAATTAATCAGCATAATAAAGCTTTAAGCGTCAAGCAACATGCAAGCCTATAATCACAGGTGTCTTCACAGCTTCACAAACTACCTTTACTCCAAACATTTCAAACGTTATTACTAAAACTAACAACATTAAATTTAAAACTCAAACTGTACTTATATGTTCAAAAATGATGTAGTCCAAATGCGAAAAACAGCAAAATGGAATTCTTGGAGAAACCAGTGTTTTGTACTATCGGCGACGTTCTCCCTACCTGGACAGGGTGGAAGAGTACATGGTTTTTCTTGCTGGGCCACCCCGTCGCACGGTTGTCCACCTCGCAGCGTTTCTGGGTGGTCGCACTGCCTTGTCCGTATTCTGATGCCATCTTCACATGTGACAGAACACTCGCCCCAAGATGACCAGTCTCCCCAGCCTCCGTCCACTATTTGAATTGGAGACATTTGAAATATTTTAATTGATACCTAATGAAACTATTCCACTTTGGTTAATGTAATTTTCATTTTTTCAGTGGTGAAACTGATATGAGAATTCAAAAGTACGGTTAATTGGTTAAAACCACAATTTGCATTAACTTAAAAATAAAGGAAGACAGGAAAGAGAGAGAGAGACCACCTGGTAAAGACATACCAACACACTTGATGCCGACCACGTGTCCATCCTTACACAGACTGGAACTCTGCCAGCCGTTATGTGTACACTCTTGTATGGCCGTCTCATTGCCGAGGCAGGAGAGACCGGATAACACAAAGGGGAGGTTGTAAGATTTAGTCGGACCATTTTGTAGAGCTGGAATAAAAATGTTTAACACTTTCAAAGTTTATAATATTTGATACGTGAACACAATGCTCCCTGCTGAAGGGGGTTGGAAACTTACTCATCAGAGGTTTTCACTAAGAAGTCATTGCATGCCATATATATGGTCTAATTTAATCATTCTTGATATGAATTTTGCGTGATAAACATATGGATTTGTAAAAATGTGATGTGGACTGATGGCATAATTTACTGAAATAGACAAAATTCACACACTATGGCTTTCTTTGGTCGTGGAAAGATTTACTAACCTTCAGCTGAAAAGTCAATAAATCATTTCGGAACACTGAATATTTTGATTTACGGAGACATTAAAAGTAAAGTCACTTCTAGGCGGCATTTTTTTATCAGGATGTGATGATTTAACTACAATCAGCATGCAGTATAATAGCAGACCGTGTGGTTACAATATCTAATCATTGCAGCTAAACTAATCCATCTGTTCCCAAAGCAACAGAGGTTTTGCTGTGTGTCGTTTGACTGACTTCCAAACAATCTTTGTTGACACTTGCTCTCTTACCTTCCGCCGCGCCCGCCAAACCAAGTTGCCTACAAGCCACGGTTGCTTCATTTATACCCCAACCTTCAGAACACACCATCCCCCACGTCTTGCTCTTGTCGTTATAGATCTGTAGAACTCCTTGTCCGTATTCATTGCCGTCTACCAGGTTGACTGGAGCTTTTTAAAGAGAACACCATTGCTTCAGATATATATTTTTCACATATCTTAGAATGATATACATGTGTGACAATACACAGTTCCTGAAACATATCAATGAACTCTTCTTTTGCATGATGTTTTCTTTTTATGAATATGGCATTAAATTGAACATGTTTGAAATGCTTTTTAATTGAATAAAATCGGAATTA